TCGTGAGCGAATAGGGGAGAGCGTGCTGCGCCTATTAATCAGCTCCAAGGACCTTCTGCTAGGGAGGTAGGGAGGGAGGGAGGGGAGCCCTGGATCGCCCTCTGTTTCTGTCTTGCAAGAAACAAGGAAACAGGAGGAAACATTGTATCCGCTGTTGCTACATTTTGTAGCGCGCTTCTTCCCCGCTTTCTGCTCTCGGTTTCTTGCGCTCTCCTGGCGGATCGCGCGCTCCAGACACGGGGCTGCTGCTTCCTGACTTTGGATTGGCTGCCTCTCACCTTGGACGATGCCCATTGGTCAGCGATGGTTCTTTGAGAAATCCTGATGTTTCATTGAGGGGTTTCGGGACTCCATTGAAGGGTTTACAAGCCTCTTCGCTGCAGATCACTAGGAGGGGAGTTTATAGGTGGAGGGGCCCACTCTGGCTCGTCGTCCTGCGTGGGTGAATGGGATTTGGGGTGTTTGGATGGCCTCTTAGTCCCGGCTGTATCAACAGCTCGAGGGGTGAAAGGCCCGGAGGGGTCGCCTGAGGTATCTCTCACCCGACAAGGCTGCTTTGTTGTCTCTGCAAGGCCGTCCTCCGGGCGGTCCTTCTCCTCCTTCATTTCAACCCCTCATCCCCAGGGCCTGAGCAGGGATCCCACCCCCTACTCTCTATCAATGAAACAGGTTTCATATCTATTTGATGCAAATGTATCCAGCTTGCCTGTGGGGCAGGTGGGGGAACGTAAGGGAACACTCTTGCTGGCCCCACGGCCTCCTCCGGCGCTGGAACAGCTATGCAGCGATCCCAGGAAGGGGTCCTGGTGTTCTGGGACTCACAGATGCTCTCTTGTGAGCACCCGGTCTAGCAGAGTAAAAGAGGTGAGGAGGTATCTGGCCAAAGGAAATTGGGGTGGAGCTTTTGCTCGGGAGGGAGGGCAGGAGGCATGCAGCCCGACCCTCCCTGTGCATTTTGGGCTGGGGGAGGGGCGGCGATGGCGCTCTGCTGGAGGGGCGCCGGAGATTATTGGGGGGGCGGAGCCCCCCAAACGAATTTTTGAGGGGGCTCGGGCCCCCTCAAGCCCCATGGAGTCGGCGCCTATGCTAATCCTAGAAGCAGGCCTCTGTAGCTCAAACTTGAACATCTTCAGAGTTCACATTTTATCCCTTCAACAGATGCTGGTTTAATGACCAGACAACTTTATTATTATTATTTAAACTGCAAAATCTCACAACATTGATACTGATTCTTTGTAGTACTGGAACCTTGCCAATAACAATTTGCTGGTCAAATGGTTTAAGAATGGTTTAATCTCCTGAAATGTGTGGCTAATTGAAATAAGGCTGAAACAATGCTGATCTTATTAGTGGCAGGGAAGTATTTAACTGCTTCAAAACGATACTGTTTCACCACCTCTGTCATAGCCCTGTGATGCTGTGGTAAAATATATAGAATCACAGTTGGAGGGGTCCAGATTTCTGCTAAAGTGGGGGTGAGGGCAAGCCTCAGGTGTTAGATGTGTGTGTATGTGTTGGGGGGATGTGGTCCTCCAAGCCTCTCCATTTGGTCCTTAATTGTGATAATGCCCCTTGTGTACTGGAGAAGCAAAGATCAGTGTCGAAGCAATGACTCTTCAACATCAACTTCATTGGACTGGTCATGTTGTTCAGATGCCTGATTATCATCTTTCGAAGCAACTACTCTATTCCGAACTTAAAAATGGAAAACGTAATGCTGGTGGTCAACAAAAGAAGTTTAAAGAATCAAGAGGGCTTCAGGATTGCTCTCCTGTACTATTTCAGACATGTGGTTTATGTATGTGTGCTTACCTTCTGCATTTATGAACATTTATCTATATTTGAGTCCTTGGATTCTTATAACCCATTGAAAGTAGAAGCTGGAGGTGTAGAAGAGAGACTTCTTAATGCTAAACAAAACTAGAGATGTTTGAAGAAACTAGTGAAATTGGATGTCAGTACATGTACATGTACAGTAGGGACGCGGGTGGCGCTGTGGGTAAAACCTCAGTGCCTAGGACGTGCCGATCACATGGTCGGCGGTTTGAAACCCTGTGGCGGGGTGAGCTCCCGTCGTTCGGTCCCAGCTACTGCCCACCTAGCAGTTCGAAAGCACTCTTAAGTGCAAGTAGATAAATAGGTACCGCTTTATAGCGGGAAGGTAAACGGCGTTTCCGTGTGCTGCGCTGGTGCTGGCTCGCCAGAGCAGCTTCGTCACGCTGGCCACGTGACCCGGAAGTGTCTCCGGACAGCGCTGGCTCCCGGCCTCTTAAGTGAGATGGGCGCACAACCCTAGAGTCGGACAAGACTGGCCTGTACGGGCAGGGGTACCTTTACCTTTACATGTATATGTAAAACACTGCTGCTTCGCACGAAATGTTGGAAATCATTAAATAGTGAAACAAGACCTGTCAGGAGTGAACACGGACCACTGGCACCAAATCGTATGGAAACAACCTTACTAGAAAAGCTAACCAGCAGACTGAAACCGACATGGGGACAAAAAGACAAGGACACCTTCACCCTGGTATGGCTCCCCTTTATTACATGCACAGCCCAAGAAGATAACAAGAACCCATCAACTGCTTACAAATCTGTAAGGATAACTTGATCCAACAATCCACACACCCCACGCAGACAAATCTCACTGCAACCAACCAACAATGCCCTGCCCTCTCCCACTGCCAAGAGAAAATAAAAACCAATAGAAAGGGAACTGTCAGGGGCTCAGGAGCAGAGGCACAGGAAAGGGAGGAGATAGAGACAGAGGGGGAGGAATCCGAGGGAGAGGTTAGCGATGACAGCCGTCCGAGGTCTCTGAGTCTCTCCAGCGAATCGGAGGATTCACAGGAAGGGGCTCCCGTGGTCAGAGCAAGGGGGTTGCCAAGGGGAACACCCCAGGAAGGAGGGGCCAGAGGGGACTCAGAGAGCAGCAGTTGGAAATCGGGACCAGCTTCCCCACCAAAGAGCAGTAGGGGGGAGGAGTCCCAGGCATCGGCATCAGGCAGCTCTCCGTCAGCAGAAGGACATGAGTCAGGATTGGCCACGCCTGCATCAGAGAGCGAAGAAACGGTCGAAAGGAAGGTCAAAGACAGGGCGCGCGCGCCAAGTTCAAACGTACAAGAGGGTGGCGCAGTGAGCAGCCCGGATAGGGAGCCAGGTCCTAAAGCCCGCCGAAGGGAGGGGGAAGAGTCAGAGGGGTCCGCGTCCGAAGCGTCCAGGAAGGAAGGGACCCCGGGGGGTAGTAGGACCCAGAGGCGGAAGGAGAGACGGAAGAGGTGGAGTAAGGTCAAAGTCTTAAGCTGGTGTACAGGGGGCGGAGATTCAGACGGAGCTTCGCCGGTCTAGTGTCTAGACGTAGAGACGCACGCTAGGGTTTGAAAATGGATACTGTACTTAAATAAAGACTTTTGTACATTACCGCTGGCTAGCGTTGGTCCTCTGTGAGCTGGGACCTGGAGGCAGTCTCTGACAGGAACCTATCCAAGCGATGCTTGTATTAAGTAAAAGAATGTAAGTTTATTGTTGTTAGCCGCTCTGAGCCCGACTTCGGCTGGGGAGGGCAGGATAAAAATAAATTTTTATTTATTATTATTATTACCACCCTCCCCCAACCTTATACTGTATAATGTGTCACGTAACTTATTTGTAGAAAAGACTCTACGACCTGAAAATAGAGACAATGCATGTACTTTTGCAGCCCCAAAAATCTTTAATAATAATATTAATTACAACATATAAGCAAGTTAGGAAATAACACTTCTGCCTTTGCATAGTAAAAGAGAACTACATAACCGAGTTAATGGTTTGTATGGTGAGATCTTGTTTTAAGATTAAAGGTAAAGGTACCCCTGCCCGTACGGGCCAGTCTTGACAGACTCTAGCGTTGTGCGCCCATCTCACTTAAGAGGCCGGGGGCCAGCGCTGTCCGGAGACACTTCCGGGTCACGTGGCCAGCGTGACAAAGCTGCATCTGGCGAGCCAGCGCAGCACACGGAAACACCGTTTACCTTCCCGCCAGTAAGCGGTCCCTATTTATCTACTTGCACCCGGGGTGCTTTCGAACTGCTAGGTTGGCAGGCGCTGGGACCGGGCAACAGGAGCGCACCCTGCTGCGGGGATTCAAACCGCCGACCTTTCGATTGGCAATCCCTAGGCGCTGAGGCTTTTACCCACAGCGCCACCCACGTCCTGTTTTAAGATTGGTGGGGTATAAATAATAAAAAAATAATAATACTAATTGAGAAAGGTTACTTGGGGACTTGAGCATTGTGATCAGTATTTTTAATTATTAAGAAACAAAGAACTGGTAGTATTGTGTAGTGGTCAGGATGTTGGACATCAAGAACTTTCTGAGGTTAAGAGCTGTTCGAAAGTGGAACAGACTCCCGCAAGAGGTGGTGGGCTCTCCTTCCTTGAAGGCCAACTGTCATGGATGCATAGCTGTCAACGTTTCCTTTTTCTTAAAGGAGATTCCCTTATTCCGAATAGGATTCCTCGGAAGAAAAGGGAAAGGTTGACAGCTATGCATGGATGCTTTAGATAAGATTCCTGCATTGCACGGGGTTGGACTAGATGACCATCGGAATCCCTCCCAACTCTACAATTCTAATTAAATGTATTCTGAATGTATTGTTTCCCCGCTTTTATTTCCTCTCCTGCTTCACAGGACCAGGTTGCCTCAACCACCCCTCCCCCCCACATGCCGCGCCTCTTCCTGGAGAGAAAAAAATGCCCGTATCGTGTCGTCCCTTCCTGTCGGCATGCGCCGCGTACCCGGAACAAATATGACGGCTCAGCTTCCGCCCCGCCAACCCCCCCCCCACGCTTTTGCATTCACCCGCCTATCGGCTGCGACGTGCCACATAATTCCCTTAACAAAGATGGCGCTCAAAACGCCCTCTCTCAATGGAAGTAGGCAGGGAAAGATGGCGGCAGGCCATAGGGTTAACTGCGCAGCTTTTGCCAGGGCGTCTCTCGCGGCTTCATCAAGATGGCGGGGGGCGCCGCTGAGGCCGTTTGAATTCCGAGCCAGCCGCCAAACTCGGACAATAACAGCCCGGGTCGCCGCCGGGGAAGTCGCAGCAGCCGCTCGCCTGCTCGCCCCTCCTCACCTCTCTCTCCCGTGTTTCCAGCTATGGACTCGCTGCCGGGGGAAGACCCCACCTTGCCCTTGGAGTTCAGCGGCAGGTACCTTCGCGAGGGATGCGGAGACCGTTAGAACCGTTAGATGGAGGGGGGGGGCGGAGGAGGACGAGGACGAGTTGGAGTTTAATTCTGACCCTTTACTACCCGTGGCGTGTTTGCACGGGCGTGAAAAGAGGTGTGTGTGTGTGTGTGTGTGAGAGAGAGAGAGAGAGAGAGAGAGAGAGAGAGAGATTTAATACCCCCCCCCCCGGTGTGGGAGGAAAAAAATATTCCTTAGACGTGGTGGCTTGACCGAAGAGAAGGCATTCAAGGCCAGTACCACTCTCATCCCCTCTCCGTCCCTTCCTCTCCCACACTGTTGTTCCTTGTTACAGTACAGTGGAGCCTCCATCCTCAGAGGCAGTGTATCTGCGCGTCGCCTTGGGGGAGGGCATCTGAAAGGGCATCAAATGATTGGCTATTGCTGCAGGGGAAGGCAGTGGGAGAGGTGTGTGTTGGCAAGGAATGTGTATGTGTTTTAATCAGGGTGGATAAAAAGGATTTTTAAAAATTAAAATCGGATTTTTAAAAATTAAAATCGGATTTTTAAAATAAAATGCTTTTGGAGAAAAATCTTTCTGAAGATAGTTTTCTGTTTAAGTTACGTTGTAGTCCAAAGGCTGTTCATCAGGAAATAAGGATTTAAGTTTTTCATGTGTGCTAAAAGTCAGTCTAAGGTATTTTTTAAAAAAATGTTTAACCACATGAGTTAACAAGCATGGATACATATGCTATCATGCTATTGTTTTAGTTAAATTGTTTAAATTGTTATTAAGGAAATGTTTGTTTTTCTCCTTCCAATATAGTACAGCAGAAAAGTTGTCCAAATATAAACAGTTAACTTATTAAACCTCACAATAATTCCATAATTATCTGTCTCATGTATTTCTAATAGCATAACCAAATCAGTAATTTTTGATATAACTGTAAAAACTACTCTGAAAATTTATTATTTCAGAAAAGAAACCTTCATCTGGTTGTAAATATTAAGATTATACCAGCAAGAATGAGTCTTTCTGTAAAAAAATGATTTAAATCAAGTCTTCTTGACTAGTGTTTTAAATCGTGTTTTAAATCGAATTGATTTAAATCAAATCCGCCCTGGTTTTAATGACCCCCCCCCCACTTTAATGGGATGAAAATGATTGTTTTCCAAGTGGGGAGGGAGCTTGACAGAAGGCATTAAGGGCCACTGCCCCTGTCCCCCACTCATCGGTGTTACCTGTGGCTGGCGACCCTTAATGCCTTTTGTTAAGACCCCTCTTGGAAAACGATCTTTTTCTCCCACTGGGTTTTTTTTAAATCGCACACCCACACACCAGTGGTTTGTTGTTGAATCCATTATCTCCACTATTGTATTTTTGCTACTGGAAAAGCGGGTGTGTGAGGTGTGTGCTACCAAAGATGGTGGGTGGAGTGGGATATGTAACCCTCTTTTCCACTAGTGGGAGCAGGTCTGTGGGGGTGTGACTCTTTGTATGGCTTTTGAAGGAGACTAGGCAAATTTTTGCACCCACAATGTTGTCCAGAAGAGTTCAGTGGAGCCTCCAGCCTCAGAGGCAAATTGCCATCAAGGCTGTCAGCCACCTCCTGACTCAGGTGTAGAAATAGATTGCTAACAAGCAAGCATGATGAGCATTGCAGCCTGGGTCCAGCACACAACAACATGGTCAAATTACTAATTCTTTCACCTCTTTGCACCTACTCCAAGGCTTCGTCCTAAACATTTTTTTAAAACAAGTAAAAGCGCTCTCTCTCTTTCTCTCTCTCTGTGTGTGTGGTTCTCCAAGGATTTTCCCACAGGTTACCTATTTTCTCTGTTGTTGATGCCAGTCTGCAGGAAGGGGGAACTGGGTCTGAAGGGAGCTTGATTTTGAAACATTTAATAAGTGACTAATGCTTCTCTCCAGGCTTGAAAAAGCTTAAGATCCAAAAATTTATTTGTTTTTATTGAGAGAGAGATGGCAACTCTAGCTACATTGGGTTTAATGAATGTAAAGAGAGCCGTATCCAATTGGACCAAATGCTTACCCAGCATAAAGTTTCCAACCTTGGTTATAGTACAGTGGTGCCTCGCAAGACGAAATTAATTCGTTCTGCGAGTTTTTTCCTCTTGCGAATTTTTCGTCTTGCGAAGCACCGTTTCAAAAGAAGTTTTGGAAAAGCTTCAAAAATCACCAAAGTCTTCAAAAACCTCAAAAAAGGCAGCCACACCGCGTGCAACTGCACCTCTTCAAGCAATGCACCCTGGGTATTAACGGTTTTAAGAAAAAGGAAACAAACTTGCAAGATGTTTTCGTCTTGCAAAGCAAGCCCATAGGGAAATTCGTCTTGCGAAGCAACTCAAAAAACCAAAAACCCTTTCGTCTTGCGAGTTTTTCGTCTTACGAGTTTTTCGTCTTGCGAGGTACCACTGTAGATGCCTCCAGAAAGGCCAGAGGAAGGGGAGTCCTTGTCCGTTGTTTCTCAAGCAATTACTGTAGTGCACTAAGAAGATAAGAGGAGCTCTGTGTCCCATGTGATGCAATAGCCATGTGGTCCAGATACTTCACATTGGAAACATATCTAGACAAAAGGAACTGACTGGGCACATTGGACCTCTCCAACTCACATGCTTCTTGAAGCACTTTGCACTCTATGATGTGCCATGACTGTTGCTTCCTTTTGGTGCACAGTATTCTTAAGCAGGTTGCCAATAATATCATTTGGAACTGGAAAGGTACTCTCACAAAAACTTGGTGCTGTACTCCAAAATAAGTTGTGAACAGTGTTCAAACTAACTGGGTGCCAGCTGCTTTTTTTTGTGACTCAAAAGCACCTTCTTGCAATCAAGTTGAGATTTCCTGTCTCAAGTCTTGCTTTGCAGAAGCAGTGGTGTGAGTTTTCTGAATTTTTTTCCTATGCACATTAGACAAAGAAAACTTTGTATTTGCACTGGGGAAATTTCTGGTGCCCTAGAGAGTGTTCTAATTTAGCATGCTTATTTTGCTTGTATTTAAGTAAAGAAAGATGAACATTTTCAAACTGCCAAGCTTCCCAAATATTATATTTGCATTTGGTATGTTCCACTATTACAAGTGAACTTTGAGAACAAAATTTTCTGTGAAAAAATAAAACACTGGGGAAATATTCTGCCCCACATTTCTGGCTACAAAACAAAATTGTGTTCCTGTTTTATGCATGATTTTGAGTGATCCCAACTAAATTTGGGAAATGTACATGTGAGAGATATTGCATTGATGAATCTGACTTCTAAAAGCTTTCCACAAGTGAATTCTCCTGCTTCTTCCTAGTGTGAATATGGCCAAATTTCTTGATGTATCGGGAGATGAAGTCCGAATTCGTCTGGGAGGTGATGGAGGTAAAGCTATAGGAATGCCACTTACCTTCTCTTTTTTTAATTCATTGATTAGGTCTGTGTGTACAGAAAGCAAAACTTGGGACGGGAAAGAAATTTCAAATGTAGACTTCGGTGCATTTCAGTTCCTTCTTCTATGCAATTGCTGAGGTTCCCAGACATTTTTGGCCTACTGTCCCCTTTTTAGGGGACGCGGGTGGCGCTGTGGGTTAAACCACAGAGCCTAGGATTTGCCGATCAGAAGGTCGGCGGTTCGAATCCCCGCGACAGGGTGAGCTTCCGTTTCTCGGTCCCTGCTCCTGCCAACCTAGCAGTTCAAAAGCATGTCAAAGTGCAAGTAGATAAATAGGTACCACTCCGGCGGGAAGGTAGACGGCGTTTCCGTGCACTGCTCTGGTTCGCCAGAAGCGGCTTACTCATGCTGGCCACATGACCCGGAAGCTGTACGCTGGCTCCCTCGGCCAATAAAGCGAGATGAGCGCCGCAACCTCAGAGTCGGCCACGACTGGACCTAACGGTCAGGGGTCCCTTTACATTTACCTTTTACCCCTTTTCAGGGGAAAAAAATTTCAGAAAAACAATTACTCAGCAACCCCCCCCCGAAAATCTACCTTCTTTAGCTGAACAAACAGGAAGATGCAGGCAAATAGGCATGCCAGCTGTGATCTACCTTCTCAGGCCTGGGTGAAGCCAAAAAGGGTTCACCCGAACCTGGCAAACCTCTTGCCTCCAACATGACAGCCAGGGGAGGTGTTGTCACCATCTCGCAACGGCACCTGACCTGGCGGTAAGCACTATTAGAAAACAGATGAAGCGTGTACAGTTTTCAATTTCCTCCTCTCTCTTTCTGCTTCCACCGCCCCCTTATTCAATGCCCCCCAATTGCACCCAAGACCACTACTGTCCCCTGGATTGTTCCAGCACCTCTCAGGGGGAGGTATTGCCCACTTTGGGGAACACTGGTCTAGTACTTCACTCCATGCCAAATATAGCCCTCCAGGCCTCCCTGTCTGACTTTTGTGACCCTCAACAGCCCTGTTCTGCACTCTTTTAGTGTTTTTGCTAGGATGGAACATGTTCTTCAGCGGTGGTAATGCTTCTTGCATTACTGAATAGAGGGAGATGGGGTGTGGGATAGCAGTGTGTTTGCTATAGGAACCTCTGGCTTTTGTGTTGCTAGAATGTGTCTTCTTAAAGAAAAATTAGAGTCACACTTGTTTTGTCTACTTTTGCTTCTGGCTGTGCCCACCACAGACACATGACACCCACACCATTGGTAATGTTGTCCATGAGAGAATATGGTCATAATACACTCCCAACCCCTGTTCTGTGTAATATCTTGTTAAGGCTAATCTCAGGTAACCATGTAGGAGCTGTTGAGAGATGAGTGCAACTTCTGTATTACTGTTGTGCAGCTGCAGGATTTATAGTTTATTCACTTTGTAGCTTGCTGCATAACCCAGGTGAATAATTCTGGCAAGGGAATTGAGAAACCACACAAGTATTTCTGTCAGCTCAAGGGAAATTTGTGTTTTGTTTCTCAAATATCACCCTGTCTCCATCCTGCATAGCAAACTGCCTTTTCAATTTGGGCAATGAAGGTGTTTCAGAAACAGTTTTGTGATGTTACAAAGTAAAGAAAAATAGTCACTAAAGCTTTCTGTGTATGCCTAAGCACCTGAAGTAGCTTTTCAGATCTTGGTTGGCTTATTAAAAGAATAAAGCCCTTACAAATGCTGGAATTTGATGTTGCTGCCATCCTCTCCCTGACTACCTACTTCTTTTTTAGTTTCTCTTCATTCTTAACTGAAGGTGATGTATGCACAGTGCTGAAAAGTTAAATTTACTGGAATCTGAATAAACTTTGTCTTTTGAAACTTGTAGCATTACCAGATGTGGCGGAAGACACAGTGTCACCAACTAGAGCACGGACCATGAAGGACTTTGAAAATGTGAGTGAATGACTTTTGGCCACCCAGTGAAGTGTTGTAGGTTGAAGCAGATCATTTCTTGTTCAGAATATACTGAGGAAAAGGGGATTTACAAATGTGCTGTTAAGGGACTAAGCAATAACCTAACGTCCTCCATTCTTCCCCTATATTGCACATAAAGCTTCTGCTGTGCTCTTGCATACATATTAAGTTGATCTACAAAAGTAGTTTCAGTACTGGGAAAATACAGCTTGTATTTGTAGATATTTCACAAATAAATAAGTATGGAAAGTTTTAGGTGCATATTTCTATGGGCAGAATTGTTTCTGGGTAATTAAGAGTATCTACTGGTTTTGAAAATTTACAACTGAGTTTACTTCAGGGTTGCATTGAGTTCAGCGTATAAGCAAGGTCTTACAAGGATTACTATCACTTTCCTGTCAATCTTATACGGATGTTACCCCTTGCTGGGCTGAGTGGTGGTGGTTGGATTTGTCTAAGCCCAGATCTGCTTGTCCTCCACTGAGGAAGTGCAACCAGAGGCATATGTACCACCAGCGGAGAGCCCCAATACGGGACCTTCTGACCAAGCCCAGGATCCTTTGTTGCTGTGGCAGCATTCAGGTTTGTGAGGTGATTTGTTTGCCCTTCTGCCCTGTGCAGGAGGCCTGCAAATGTGGTGGAAGCTCTTTTACTTTGTTAAGCTGCACTGAGCAGCTCCTGGGGTTTGGTTTGCACACCAAGCCCCATTTGAATTTGGTGTGTGTGTGTGTGTGTGTGTGTGTGTGTGTCTTAAGCAAGATTGCTTGTAGCTTCTATACCTACTCTAAGCCTTTCATTATACAGAAGCATGGACATCAATATTTTATTAGTAACATATTAGATTTCTCCATTTGGAAAGCATCTGGCAGACAGCAGGGATACGGGGCAATTGCTTTATTTGGATGTATGTTTGAAACTTGTTCTTTTGAAAAAATTAAAGGTTTTTCTTTTCCCTCTATTGCAATTTTCTGACATTTTACCCTCCTTCACTGGGGGTTAAGGTTAAGTCTCAAGCAATGAAGGACACTGGGACAGCAGACTGTCCTAAGGGTACTGTGTTTGCCTTTTTTCTTCAAGCAGTTGATGTTTAAAATCTTCAGAGGAAGATATATTTACCTGTCCCCTGTCTCTCCCGTCCCACTGAGAATGGTCTGTTCTGGGCTAAAATGGTTCTGTCTGTTTCCTACCACAAACACTGTTCTGTGTGCCACTTTCCAAGTATGGATTCATTAATGCAGTCAAAGCAGTGTCATCCATGCACATAAGTAGGCTTTTGGGAACACTGAAATTTGCATAGGTAGAAAAAGAAAACTCAAGGAACCCTGCAAGCATGCTTTGTGGTTGCCACAGAATGCTGACTACCTCTTGGGGAGAGCAAGTAGAAAACCAGAAGGGGAGGGGAAATGAAATGGTGCATGCTGTAAGAAGGCATGCTGGCTGGAATCCGGAATAGGAACAGTCCGCACTGCAGTGTTTAGTCACAAGTCCAATTTGTTCTTTCTCAACAACATTTTTTAAGGAATATAAGATCAGTCGACTTAGTAGCTAACCATTATTTATGAGTATCACCAATCCCCTCTCCCACATCCCATTGGCGTGAACAGGGGACTTTGAGGAGAAGAATCAGAGCGCTCTCCCATTTGTGCAGGGTGAAAGGTAAGAAACAGCAGGAGTTTCTCCTGCTGTTTGGATGGGACTCTTGCTGTTGGTTTAAACAAAGCATTGAAAATGAGACCGACAGCACAGGGATCTATGTGATGGCAGATGTCCAGAAGCTTGTGGGCATTCTACTCCAATGGGAACCTTTGAAAAACACCTCTTGCTCTCAAATTCAACACACAGGAAGCAGTATCAGCTTCTCTTTCATATGTGAGACTGCTTGGGCAATGTGCCCCAAAATTCTCAACTTTTTAGTTCTCTCACACATATTTGTGTAAGAGTTTGCATTGTAGGCAGGGCTTTTTCAGGGGGAACTCACAGGAACTTAGTTCCAGCACCTATCAGATGGGCACCATTGCCATTATAAGAGAACGAGGGAGGTGTTTATGGTAAGTTCCAGCACCTCTTTTTCTAGAAAAATAGCACTAGTTGTAGGTGTTTCTGTTTGGGGCAAATAAATGTCTGTAGGAGCACAGTGTTGGTTGCAGGAAGTTGCTTGTTTGAGAGGCGCATGTTACAATGAGTTGTGTGTGTGTGTGCGTGTGCATGAGCTAATGATGAATTAAGTTTTTGTGTGCTCATAATGACACAGAATTCATTGATGAATCTCCAAAGAAACCTCTCAAAGTTATTTTTGTGTAGCAGCTGAATTGGTGAGATCCCCAAATCTTTTCAGTTACACTGTTTTTAGTACGGTTGTGTGACATTGTTTCTGGTCCACCCTCTTTAGCGGGTGTGGGGACCTCAAGCTCAGGGGCCAAATGAGGCCCTCTAGGTCTCTCTCTCTGAGGCCCTTGGGACTCTTCCCAGGCCATACCCCCATCTTAGCATGCTCCCTCTCCCCAGGCAACACTCATCACTGGTGCTGCCTGTTACTTGCCTGAATGCAAGACAGAGAAGTGTATGAATAACTATAGAAATTTGCCCGCAGAACAAAGGTAAAATTAATATTTGTTGCTCTGCCCACCACTAGCATGTTTCCCTCAGGAGGCTGCCTAGGAGGCAATGTAGCCTGTAGGCTGACTGTCTTTTTCACTTCTGCTATACAGGTACTCTTGGAAAACACAGAACTTTCTCAACATTTTTAAAGTTTTCCCCTAGCACTGTTATATATTCCAGGATAAACTTGATGAGAGCATTTGTTTCCATCCTGTTCACATGATATTGCTGGATTGGTACAGTATGTATGTCACATGGTATTTCTCTTTTGTTATAGCAAATAATTGAGCTGCGAAAAGAGAATTTCAACCTGAAACTGCGCATATATTACCTGGAAGAGCGCATGCAGCAGAAATTTGATGGTCCCGATGAAGACATCTACCGAATTGTAGGTATTTTTAAATCTCTTATAACTTGCTTCTGCAAATGAGATATAATTTATTTATTCATTCATTAAAGCAGTGGTAGGCTTTCTGGTTGAAGATGGTGATGAGTAAGACTGTCCTTGAACCCTGCAGTCTATTTTAATTTTTTTTTAATTTTGAATAGTTTTAAACTCAGTTGGCTTAGCTGTTAAAAAAGATCTGCAAAAAGAAATCAGGAAAAAGGAGTGATAAAATAACTAAATAGTTGTGGTGATTCAAAGGTTTAATTTGAAATCAAGTTGGGTTTGCTTTGTTGGTGTGTCTGGTAGCCTCTTACCTCATGGATGTTGGCTCATAATATGGATCGGTATTGTTTTACTGATGCTGTTGCTGTAGGTTTGTCATAGCCTTTCACTAGAGCAGTAAACTTATATAAAAACATTTGTATCCTACCCTTCTAGTGCAAAAGCACTACCCAGGTGTTCCATAATTTGGGTGCAGCTGCTGATAAGGCCCTCAGTGTCTTGGTTCTTGGTCAGCAGAGGAGTAGAGCATACAGGAAAGGCTTAAGTCCTCCTGGAGGAAGAGTCAGCACTGATTGACTAACAAGAACAAGAACAAGAACAATAACACTTTATTATTTATATGCAGCCAATCTGACTGGGTTACCCTAGCACTCTGGGTGGCTGGGTGATGCTGACCATCTGGAAGGGAAGGAAACCTTACTGTAATTGCCAGTCTTTGTTCTCAAACTTAATCAGTTCTGGAAGTCTGTTCCAAAACCAAAGCGTTCCAAAACCAAGGTGTGCTTTCCATAGAAAGTAATGCAAATGGATTAATCCGTTCCAGACTTTTAAGAACAAGCCCTAAAACAGCAATTTAAAATGAATTTTACTGTCTAACACAGGGGTCGGCAACGTGTGGCCCATGGGCTGGATGCGGCCCACAAAGACTGTTTTACCGGCCCCCGAGCCGCCCCCAAACCAAGCTGCCTGCTAGGTGAGTCCTCTGTGTGCGGCGCTAAACCGGTGCAACGCGGGGACTCACTAAGTGGCGCCGGAAATTGCCTCTGTGCACGTGCAGATACTGGAAATCGCTTCTGCGGTTGCCCAGATACCGGAAATCGTTTCTGCACAGGTGCAATTTTCGGCATCTGGGCATGCGCACAAGCGATTTCTGGCGGTGCGGACATGCGCAGACGTGATTTCCGGCATCACGCTGTGCTGGTCCGGCCCACGGACAATCTCCGTGGGAGTTATCTGGCCCATGGCCAGTAAGCCTTGCCGACCCCTGATCTAACGAGACCATTGAGCCATAAATGAAAGCAATAATCAATGTACTGTACTCTAAAATAAAACAGTACCATAGATGATAAAAAAAATAAATTCTTTTCTTATCTGCACTGATGATAGTCATTGTTTGGATGGGGAGCTTTTATCCATTTCCTCAGTCACACAATCAATCAGTCAGTAGCTGAACTGGGTTCCACACAGTCACAAAAACAAATTAACCGAAAAAGCCTCAAAAACAAACAAAAAAAACAAACGCAAAATAAATAGCAAAAACAAAAGCACCAAATATAAGCTCCAAATATCACCTCAGAACACTGCAATCAGAAATGGAAGACTTGAATTGCAATGGGGGGACACAAATTAGCAGCACAACAGTAAAAATGGAAACAGAAGATTTCGATTGCAATGGGCGGATGCAAATTAGCAGCGCAACAGTAAAAACGGAAGCTCAGGACTCAGATCAGAGCATGTTCAGCTTTCAAAGCAAAGTTTGCAAACTGGAACACTGACTTCCGGGTTTGCAGCATTCGAGTTTCAAGTTGTTTGGGAACTAAGCTGTTCCAAAATCAAGGTACCACTGTACATGTGGAAAGAATCTAGGGGTCTTGGTGGAACACAGTCCCACTTCTACTCTTTGATGGCCAGATTCAATAAAGCCATTCTCCATGGCCACTCAGGTTGTGGCTGGGTTACTTCAGCCCCTCTACAGCGTGGCTGCAATTCTTGATACATTTACTTGGGAATAAGTCCCCTCTGGATACAGCAGGATTTCTGAGTAAAGAGGTGCAGGACTGCACTCTGTGTGTTCTTTTATTTTTGCAAGCCAGTTATTCTCATTCTAGTTCTGCATTTGCTTAAACATAAATTCCCGGGTGTTAGTATGCCTTTGTTATATTTCAGCTATGAGATGTACGGTAATAAGGGGTTTTGAATGACCTTTGTATGATGTGTAGGATTACTTCTTAAACGATGCTGTTTCAGTACTAAAATAAAACAATTTCATTACTAGGAGTTCTAATCAAAGAGCTTCCTTCCTACTTAATTTAAATTGCTTGTTCGGTCTGACACTTTTATCAGTAAAACAAAGGCTTTCAGAAATTACATTATAATCCTTGCACATCAAACTGCAGCAGAAAGATGATCCATGTTAATATAAACTGTCTACTTCTCTTGCTTGCATTTTCTTTTGCTTCTTTGTTCTGTAAGGCCATACAGAGAAATGATCAAATGAAAGCTAGAGATAATATCCTATTTAACAAAAAATCCAGCTGCTGATTCCCTGTAGTGAGTGCCATTTTTGCAGCTGCTAATGCCTCGTTTAAAACTACTGTTCATTTTGTGGATGTTTTGCCTGGCATAATTCAGATATATCAAACCTTGGTTTGTGCTAACCATAGATCAGAACCCAAATCATGGTTTGAGCTTCGACTGCCAATACAGTGGTACCTCACAAGACGAACGCCTCGCAAGACGGAAAACCCGCTAGACGAAAGGGTTTTCCGTTTTGGAGGCGCTTCGCAAAACGAATTTCCCTATGGGCTTGCTTCGCAAGACGACAGCCCATAGGGAAATCTCCGGGACAGCGGGGAAGCGCAGCGCGTCTTCCCCGCTGTCCTTGGACCTCCTCCGAAGCCTGGTGGCGGGGCGGGGACACCTCCTCCCGCCGCCGCCGGGCTTCGGAACGATGCCCCGATGCCGGGCGGGGGGGGGGGGAACGCCTCCGCCGCCGCCCGCCATCGGGACGATGCCCCGATCCCGGGCGGCGGGGGGGGAACGCCTCCCCCCGCCGCCCGCCATCGGGTCGATGCCCTGATCCCGGGCGGCGGGGGGGGAACGCCTCCTCCGCCGCCCGACATCGGGACGATGCCCCGATCCTGGGCGGCGGGGGGGGGGACGCCTCCGCCGCCGCCCGGCATCGGGACGATGCCCCGATGCCGGGAGGCGGGGTGGGAAGCCTGGGCGCGCTGATCTCAGGTCCGCGAAGCCTGGGCCGGACAGCTTTTGAAGGCAGGCGGGGGGAGGGCAGGCGGGGGGAGCTCTTCTGAAGGCTGGCGGGGGCGAAAGTCTTTGTCCCCCCTGCCTGCCTTCCCAGGGGCTTTTAAATCGCCGGGACAGCGGAGAAGTCCTCCGCTGTCCCGGGTGATTTTAAAATGCCGCCCGTCAGCATTTTAAGATCGCCCCGGACAGCGGAGACGTCCTCCGCTGTCCCGGGTTTTTTTAAAATGCTGGGGGTGGGAAGAAAAGCCCTTGTCCCCCCCCCCCCCAGCCTTCAGAAGTGGTCGGGGGACAGACTGTCCCCGACCTGGTCTGAAGTCGGTTTCCCTAGGAACGCATTAATTGATTTTCAATGCATTCCTATGGGAAACCGTGCATCGCAAGACGAAAAACTCGCAAGACGAAGAGACTTGCGGAACGAATTAATTTCGTCTTGCGAGGCACCACTGTACATAATTTTGAGCTGCTTGTCTGCTTTTATCTTCCATCCTCTCAGCCCCAGCATCCAAAACTAAATGTCCTAATGTAACAGCCTATGTAGGTGGAGCATTACTTGTAACAATGGAGTACAAGTCATGTTTTTCAGAATGCATCTCAAACCATGGTTCTGATTCTGGTTTGCTGGTGAACTGTAAACATTTCTTCGTCACTATGGGCAGGCAGCATGCAAGAAGAAGCTTCAGTTTTAAAATTGATTTATTTGTGGCCTTTGCATGCCACCCCATAGCATAGTTGTCTTGGTGGCTTACAACAAATAAGTAATTAATGGTGGTTTGTAACCAACTAAGCATATTAATGTTGAAACCTGTATCACCATAGCTCAGTGATCAAGGACTCACTTTGCATGCAGAAGGTCCCAGGTCCAATCACCAACATTCCTCCGCTGGGAATGTCTCCTGCCTGAAACCCTGGAGAGCTGCTGCCAGTGAGTGTGGACCATTGGTCTGACTTGGTATAAGGCAGCTTCCTGTGTTTCTAACTCTTTACTAAAATGAGAACAGAGAACACATGAGAAGGCAAGGCATACTCTCCAACGAGGTTCCTAAGCATATTTGCTTCAGAATACATGAGTTATCAGTTCTATGTTTAAAAATCTGGTCAAGCATTCTCTACATCAGGGGTCGGCAAACCTTTTCAGCAGGGGGCCGGTCCACTGTCCCTCAGACCTTATGGGGCACTGGACTATATATTTTTTTGGGGGGAGGGGAATGAACAAATTCCTATGCACACCAGGCAGGCCCCACAAATAACCCACAGATGCATTTTAAAAGGACACATTCCATGCAAGAGCACCAGGTAGGCCAGACAGTATTGTAGATGATAAAATTTAAAATTATTATTTTTTCTTACCTGCACTGATGATAGTCATTGTTTGGGTAGGGGATGCTCTCCTGGGTTTGGTGCTGCGTTGTGGCCTGCTGGGCCTCCTGCAGCCAGCACCTCCTCCGCGCTTCGGGGGTGGGATGGGGGGCCCTCCTGCCGGCAGCAGAGGCCAGATCGCTGCCGCACAGTCAGCAGGGAGAGCTCCTGCCTGCTCACCCCACCCTCTCTCTTTTCCCTCCCCCTGTAAATCTCTTGCCCCCTCCCCCACCCTGGATGGTGCCTCTTTTCCCTCCAGCGGCACCTCTGCCTCCTCCCTTTCCTCCTCCTGCGCCTCCTGAAGGAGGACTTCATGCGAGAACGTGTCGCGGCTTCCCTCTTTTTTGTCTTTTTTTCCAGGGAGCTCAGACAGTGGCCAGGCCGGGTTAATGACCCTCGCAGGCTTGATCCGGCCCATGGACTGTAGTTTGCTGACCCTGCTCTACATGCTAGGCTTCACTTCTGCTTAGGTTTAGCATTTTTAACTGTTCTTAGCTAGGATTTCTGTGTTAGTTCTATGATTTTGTGTCCATATGATGTTGTGTCCCTGTGATTTCCCCCTATTTCTACCTATGATTAATCAAAATATAATTTATCAGATACACACACACAGTTTTTTAGTCCCACACAGCTCCCACCATCTTCTGAGTGGGAGGTAAAATTTTTCAGCTCCTTTGGGGGTGGCCTCTTCTGCTCTCAGGCACCTTGGGAGAGCCTTTTCTTTCTCTAGCCTCTGCTCGTTTCCTTCTGGAGCAGAGAGCCCTTTAGCTACCAGTGGCTGTGGGTGTGGATGCTGGGCCAGACGGCAAGTGGGGAAGGCTCAGACTGTTGGTATGTGTACTCTAGGGCAAGGGTAGGACCAGACCTGCCTCCTGCCCACTGGCCTCTTTGTCCATGGGCCCATCGGGGGGCTTCAGCCGGAGCTTGGCATGCTTGTTGGCCCTGCGCCTGGTGCCTGGCTTGGTTCTGCTTCTGGCGCACTCAGCGGAGTGTGAGCTGCGCGCTGCCTGCCTAGTGTTCTGCATGTGCGGCCTGCCCACCGACCTGGCCTCAGACAATGGGCCACAGCACATGGTGCACGCCACCTGGGAGCTCAGCGGGGATGAGCGGATGTAGCAGCTGCTGCTTGTCAACAACGCTGAGTGCCGAGACGCGCTCCTGAGCACATGCAGAGTGCATTCCTCCTCCAGGTCTGGAAGCAGCTGTGGGACCGGCATGCAGGGTATTTATATTTTTCAAAATATAGTCCACCGCCCCCAAGGTCTGGGGGACAGTGGACTGGCCCCTTGTTGAAAAAGTTTGCTGACCCCTGCTTTAAATGGTATCTTATGCCTGGGAAATATGAGGGGCACTCATTAAATATTTCCCCTGACGTACTTCCTGTGGACTGAGACAAACGAAACTGGGCACAGTTATTAGTCCTTCTCTGCATAGCTACCAGTAAGAGTCACACACTTCTCCCATCGCTTTATGCAGCTGTGGAGACCTCATCTGTATAAGTTGGCAGGTTACATCAGAAACCATGACTTGACCTCAGAAATCAGCATTTCATCGTCTGGAAAAAGCTTGCCCTTCAAAAATAACTTCATGGTTGGAAAGAGGTGGAAGTCAGATAGTGCAAGGTTGGGAGAATAACAGGGGTGAGGAAGGATTTCATAGCCACAGGACCGTGCTTCTGTCTGAGCAACATGTGAGTTATGAATCGGGGCGTTAATCCTGCAGGAGGCAGACGCCTTTGGTCAACATACCACACCTCTTGATTTTGATGGCCTTCAGCAATTTCTGCAGCAGTAGTGTGTCCCGGTAATGATATCCTTTGTCAGGAAATCCATCATCACTACTCCGCGCTGGTCCCAAAAGACCATGAGCATGACCTTGCCAGTTGACGGTTGGATACATGCTTTCTTTGGAGGTGGTGAGGCAGAGTGCTTCCATTGTTTGGACTGGGATTTAGTCTCTGGGTCATAATGATGGACCCATGTTTCATCCTGAGTAATTAGTGTGGCAAAGAAGTCATCATGGTTTTCGTGACACGTGGCCAAAAGGGCCCGTGGGCATGTGACTCGTTCCTGCTTCTGGGAAGGCATTACCAGCCAGTGAATCCACTGTGCGGATGCCTTTCCCATGTGCAAATGGTCATGGATGATTTTTTTCTACAGAGCCCACACTGATCTTGACATCTTCAGCTAGTTGCCGGATGGTTATGTGGAGATCCTCCAAAATGGCAGCCTCCACTTGCCGGATGGTGTCTTAATCAGTGGTAGACTTTGGTTGCCCAGGAATGGGAACCGTTTTCCCCAAAGTCCGACCACACTTGAACTGATGATTCCAGTTCTTGACTACGTCATACAATGGGGCATCCTCCCCATAAGTCCCCTTTCATCTCATCTAATGTCTCCCGTGGTGTGTGCCCTTTCAAGTACAGGAACCTGATGACCACTCTGCATTCAACTGCATTATCAGTTGATGAACCTGATGACCATTCTGCATTATCAGACATTACTCCATGTTAGTACCTGTAGCAGAGAAACTGTTAGGAGTTCAGGGCTACAAATTACCACGTTGCCTATGGAGAGATGTATCATTATACATGTGCCATGTCATCCTTCTACGATAACTGGAAGTGGGTCAGGGGAAATCTTTAATGAGTGACCCTTGTATTAGAAAATAAGGTTCAAGGGGATAGATATATTCTGGAGTAGTAATGTTGAAGACCTGCAGATAAGGCAGCAATGTCTGTGAATAAATGGATGAATGCTTGTAAGGCAACAGCTGTTGATATTGGCTGCCTCTGAACCTAATTTACTTAGTGGGATTCTTAAGCAACCAGAGGTGATAGTTTAGCTAAATACTGAAGATTGGTTTGAATGGATTTGGATTGCTCTCACTGTGGTTAAGCTCTCACAACTGCTGAGGCTCAGGGGAGCAAGATGGTTTTAAATTACAATTCTTTGCAATGTTGGAACATATTTTCAACAGTGTTTGAATGTAAAGTATAATTAAATGAACTGTATCAATTCAAATCTTCAGTCTGAGACTTCTCTGTATGTATACAAGGGAAGGGCTGTTGCTTTTTTGTGTTTCGTATAGGCTCCCCACAGTCATCCCCACAATGACTAGGGTGCTGGACCAGATGGACCTTTGGTCTGATCCAGCAGGGCTCTTCTTACATTTCTATATGTCCTTGGCTCTCCCCCGACTTTTCTTTATGGGAGTATTTTAGTATCCCCTTGGAATTTATGAATTGCATTATTATATGACTCTTGATGTATACAGATCTATGAGAACCTTATTCTGTGCAATTTATTGTTGAAATTGCCATCTTAAGAAGAGCACTCCTTGACCAAGCCAAAGGTCTTTCCAGTCCTGGATCCTGTTTCCCACAGGGCCAACTGGACGCTACCAGGAAGTCTGCAAGAAGGCATGAACACAATAGTTATTCCCCACAGTTGATATTTGTATATTTGCATTTGTATATCTGTTGCCTAGTTTGAGACCACTGATGCCGGACTGTGCACGCAGAACAAACCCAGTGCCATTAAAGATAGTTATTGCCAAGACAAAGTCCTAGCCTGAACAGCAAGTCATTACCCTGCCTGCTGAGGACAGCCTGCATAGACAGAGTCCGTCTAGTACATGAGAACCCTTTTCTGCCTACGAAGATGATCAAATCTGGGGCATCTCTGGGTTGCTGCTTTGTGTCCTGGTAGCTCTTCACAGGTTGTAGCCAAATTTCCAGCATCAGAGTACATTTACAGTAACTCTAGAAGAATTAGATGTAATTGTGTTAAATTTGCACTTGGTCATCTCTCCTAAACCAGGGATGGAGAATCTCAGACCTGGAGACTGAATGTGGCCCTCTAGACCTCTTTATCTGACCTTTGAAACACTCCAGACTATCTATTCTTCCCAGGCCATGCCACTCACCAACTCTGTTCCATGCTCCCCATGAGTGTTTTTGCCTGGTAAAAATGTGTAAAAACTAGTTTACTGTACAGTAGTACCTCGGGTTAAGTACTTAATTCGTTCTGGAGGTCTGTTCTTAACCTGAAACTGTTCTTAAGCTGAAGCACCACATTAGCTAATGGAGCCTCCCACTGCTGCTGTGCTGCCGGAGCACGATTTCTGTTCTCACCCTGAAGCAAAGTTCTTAACCTGAGGTACTATTTCTGGGTTAGCGGAGTCTGTAACCTGAAGCGTATGTAACCTGAAGCGTATGTAACCCGAGGCACCACTGCATAAAGGTTAAATATGCATTTTCTGCTCTATCTGATTTTGTCTCTGGCTCCATGAAACACTGGCATCTGTCTCCCGGAACATTGTCTAGAATGTGGCCCTTGGGCTGAGAAAGGTTTCCCTGCCCTTGTTTTAAACAGATGAGTACAATGGACCCTCGGGTTACGTTACCTTTGGGTAATGTAACTTTCGGGTTGTGAATGCGGCAAACCCGGAACTGTACACTTCGGGGTTTCATCGTGTGCACATGCACAGAAGCGCTCTGTCACGCCGTGCGTGTGCGCAGAAGCAGCACCTCTTACGAAATTTTGGGGTGCACCCGGACCCCCGGAACAAATTGAATTTGTATCTGGAGGATCCACTGTTTTTGTTTTTGTTTGACTGTTTTGAGGTATAAGGTCATGTAAATGTTTCATTCCCCAGTCGCTTAATGTAAATTGGATATTGTGGTGGGTGAGATGCTGGGAAGGTAACTCTAAGTTTCCTGAGCTGAGGTGGCTACTATTTTTCTTCTCTTGTTCTACCAGAACATTGAACTCAAAGTTGAATTGGAAAGCTTGAAACGAGAACTGCAGGAGCGAGAGCAATTGCTCATCAAGGCTTCGTAAGTGTCATCTTCATTTTTCATCCTTTGCTAGTAGCCCTCCTTTGAAGGTGTCATGCTCTTTTAGCAGTTGTTGCTTTCTCCCAGGTTTCTATTCAGAGATTAGCCTGTGCAGTCTGCATTCCAGATGGAGTCTTTGATTAGCCTGCAGGGTTGCCATATGCCCTTTTTTCCAAGACACGCCATCTTTTTCAGGTCTGGTTGTCATATGTTCTCTTTTTCCCAGACACGTTCTCTTTTTCAGGGTGGATTTTTAAAATTTGGCAAAATGTCCATTTATTTTTGTTTGTTTACAGTAACCCAAGAAAATTTTCCTAATGCATTAGACTGAGATCTAAGACACCTGGCTAAGCTGGTCTGCAGCACAGAATCACAACAGAACAGCATCTTAAACCAGCTACATATTGTATAAATCCCTTCTCTTGTGGCTGAACTCAAAGGTCAGCTAGAAGATCATGGAGAAGGAGTCTGGGAGGGCAAGAGTTAACATCTGCCTGCCCTTAAGAAGAGTCCATATGTACATGTTAAACAGTTTAATAAATTGTTCTGTGCACGCTTATGTTCACAAAGATGTGAACATGAGCCCAAATACTTTCATGTGACAAGTGATGGAGCAATATTTATTATTATTATTATTATTATTATTATTATTATTATTATTATTATTATTTTGTTGAAAGTTAAGAACAATGCTGCCAGCAATATATCACAGCTTCTATAGCCTACATATGGTAGGGGTATTTAAAATGAGAGTCATCAAAGCGATCTGTAGTTAAAAGTCTGCAAATGCGTCCTCTTTTTTTTGCTCTTTAAAATATGGCAACACTAGATTAGGGCTAGTATTTTTGGTTTTTGTACTGGGAAAGTCACTCTTATTAAAGAGGTACATTTTTTCTCTTTATGCAATGCCAGTTCAAACAGTTGAATCAAGTTTCTTGAAATAACATTGATATGCTGGTATATCCCTTTGCATGTAAGTAACTTGTGTGCCACATTCAAAAAATCTTCCTCTCTCGCCAATAGGATCTTGTCATCTCTGTCCTTGAGCCAGTCTTTTCCTGAACAAATCACTATTGGTGACCAGGAATCCAGATAGACATATAAGAAATAAACCTTCTGGTGGAGGGACAGATCTTTATTTAAGCTTTTGAATCCCCTGAATAATACCCGCTTGTTTTTATATTTCTATTTTATAAGTTTTATGTTGTTGTTTTGTTTTAAATATTGTTTTGTTTTTATATTTTACACCACTTAGAGATTTAAAAAAATAAGCTGTTTAAAAATGCTTTAAAATAACTAAGTAAACTTCCTCCAAGAAGCCCAGGATCATGTACATAATTCCCTTCCTATTTCATCCTCACCAAAATGTTGCAATGTAGGTTAGGCTGAGATATTGGTAATAACATTATAGTAATGCTGATTCTGATTTATTAGGAAGTGAGCGAAGTCTGGTGACAATCTTCTCATAAATTTCTAAAAGGATCTGTGCTTTGTCTTTGCAGTAAAGCAGTGGAAAGCTTGGCTCAAGGTGATGCTGAAATCAAGCGTCTGAAGGAAGAGGCTCATAAGGAAGTCCAGCAAGTGGAGGAAAGCTTGAAGTGCAAGATAAGCCACTTAGAGGAGGCAAGGCAATATGTTTTCATAGTGCACGTGCAGGTGTTTTTATGATTTCTGCTATTATACTTTGCTGGATCTTGTAGGAGAGCACTTGTTGTCTTTCAGTAATAATCTGAGAATAAGCCCTCACTTTCCTAAGAAAAAACTCAGGTAATTCAGTCTCTCTCTGAGGTAGGATGAACAATGGACATGTAACTGTCTCTTCCCTCCCTTGGGATGGGTTGGGGTTGGGTTGAAGTCTAAAGAGGCTGAGCCAAGGCCATAGTAACATTCTTAGGTGCCAGAGGCAGGTCAGGGGTACAGGTGTGCGTTTCAAAGAAGGCAAGTGGAACAAGGCACTAAGACTGCTGCTGCTACTTGTGGTGACAGGTTGCTCAGACTGACTTATGGTCCAACCCTGAGGCCAGGGCTTCATGGACCAAGGTGAACTGCGATATGCATATAGGGTCAGCTGGCAATTACTGCAGCTGAGGTGACACCCTTGTTGACTGCAATGATTAGTCAGCCAGGTATGCAGGGGAAGCAGAGCACCAGTGGTGGCAAGGCTACTGAATGCCTGATTTGAGTCACACACACGTTGCACTTTACAGTAATGTTGAAAAGGTTGGAGGGGAGGGATTGGGTTTTTCGGACGCTATGAACCTTGCAGGGCCGGGAAATCGGCTTTGTGGGGTGCTGAATGCTTTTCTCCGTGAGGGAGCCTTTCCGGACCCCATTAAAGAAGTGGTTTTAAGCCACCTCTTAAAAAAACATCTTTGGACCTGGCCATTATGGCCAATTATCTCCCAGTCTCAACTCTTCCATTCTTGGGAAAGATAATTGAGTGGGTGGCATAATTGAGTGGCAACTCCAGGCACATGAAGATGCAGACCTTCCAGTTGGGATTCAGCCCCCATCATGGGACTGAAACCACCTTAGTTGTGCTTGTTGATGATTTTGGGTGGGCTAGGACAGAGGTGAAAGCTGTTTCCTGGTTCTGCTGGATCTCTCAGTGGCTTTTGATACTATTGACCATGGTGTCCTTTAGGGCAAAACTAGTTTGAATTTCACATCGTGATAACTGTTTCCTAATATTTGACCTGGCAATATATTGCAAATCACAATGTGTTTTAGGGCTAGGCCTCACACACATTGAGGTGATTGATAATATTATTTAACAGTTTTAGACCCTTAAGTAGAAGCAGTTGCCAATACATTGTCCTGTTCGCCTCTGTGTAGTTCCTACCTTATTTCAGATATTGAGATATATCAATATATCATGATGTTTAGCTGCTGATATATCACACTATTGAAAGCCAGATACTGCCCAGATCTAGTGCCCTTCTGGACCATCTTAGGGGGGTTAGGAGCTGAAGGTTATTGTTATGTAGTGGTTCCCCTCCTTCCTCTGTGTTCGAGTCCAGAAAGTGGTGTTGGGAGGTGAGTGTTCAGACCCCTGGGCGCTCATTTGTGGGGTATCTCAGGGCTCCGTCCTCTCCCCCTTGTTTTTTTAGCATCTATATGAAGCTGCAGGGAGAGATCATCAGGGGGTTTGGGCTGGGTGTTCACCAGTATGTGGATGATACCTAGCACTACTTCCTTTAAATTGGAACCAGTGAATGCATTGAATGTCCTGTGTGAGTATCTGGAGGTTGGATGGCAGCTAATGGATTGAGATTGAATCCCAGGATAAGACAGAAGTACTGTTTTGGGGAGATGGGGTGAGCAGGTGTCGGGGATTCCCTGGTCATGAATGGAGTAACTGTGCCCCTGAAGGACCAGGTACGCAGCCTGGGAGTCATTTTGGACTCACAGCTGTCCATGGAGGTGCAGGCCAATTCTGTGTCTGGGGCAGCTGTCTACCAGGTCCATCTGGTATGCTGGCTGAGACCCCATTTGCCCGCAGACTGGTAATATAGAAAAGCTGGTGGTGGAGGAATAGTTTAGTCTCTGAAGACTGTCAGTAACTGTCTTTAAGGTGGTCCTCCTTGAACAAAAGAACATCAAAGGTGGATTGCAATGTTAAGCAGTTGAATTGGAATACATCAAGAGAATTTTCTCACAACAAATGTCTTAATTGGCTGACCTGTACCAGGATGTCTATATTATCTAATACTGTTTTTGGTGAATGGCTGCAAAGTAATTATCACCCTCTGTACTTTCCTGCATTTCATTTTCTTCTGAGCTCCTATGAATAGTTCTCCTCTTTCCCATGCAAGTATGTAGCTGTAACTTACTCAGGGCATTACCTCTTGTTTGTGATGAAGTCTATTGTGGTCCAGAAAAGTGCACGTCATATTAAATTCCACCACAAGTGGTGATCCTTGCTGGGCAAATGAGCCCAGTAAGGGTAATACTGCTTGAGAAAGTATTGCAAAAGTTCACTGGCTGTGAATGGTTGCTTCATCATGCATCTCTTATTTTCTGAGCACAGGATCTTAAGGTGGCGAAGGAAGAAGTAGAGAAAGCGTTTGCAATGACGGAGCAGGAGAGAGTACTAAGACTTGCAGCCGAACAGCAACTTTCTTTGATTACAAATAGGCAGTCAAAGGATCTGGATGTGATGACAGTGCTTGAAGAAAAGGACAGGTTAGGCTGTTATTATGGATGAGTACTCATTTTGTCAAATTGGTCCGATCTCCCTTGACTACACCCCTTACTGACCTTCCTTCACATTCCATGTGATTTTGCCTGACTGGGATGTCCGTGAACTCTGTTAATGCCTCTTGCTTTTGTTTCATTTTCATTGGGCTTGTTGTGGGGACAAGTTGTGGTAAGTCCATTCAATGACTAGATGTATCAATCGGATCTTATGTCTTTCTCTTCTGCTCTGCCTATGTCATCATCATCATGGTTCTGTTTCTGTAATTTTAGATGTATTGAGCAACTGAGTCTGTCTCTGAAAAATAAAGAAGCTTTAATCCAGTGCTTGGAAGCAGCAGAGTCCAGAAATAGATCTTTGGAGGAGAGTTTGTCAGAAGAAAAAATCCAAGATCACCCTGGTGCTTTAGTGCTTGAGAAAGAGGAGGAGCTGGAGGTGAGGACTATCAATAGGGTAGAAAGGTGGAATGCCATCCCTTGAGAAGATCCTGTTTGTCACCCTTGTTTTCCCAGCTATCTAAGGCATGACTTTTCCACTGAGCACAGGAGCAGTCTGTACGCTGAGTTGATACAGAGCTGTACTTTTGCAATTTTTTTTGCAGATACTCTTTGCTTTCCCCCCTTATTTTGTTTTTATCTTTACTTTTCTGTTCCACCTTCTTTCCAAGGCCTCAAGGTGTTATACATGCATCTCCCCCTCCCCATTTTGTTCTCACAACAACCATATGAGTCAGGGCTGAGAGAAGGCAATTGGCCCAAGATAACCCTGTGAGCTTCATGGCTGAGTGGGTATTTGAACCCCGAGCTCACTTTCTCAATTGCTTCTCATTTGGTTCCTATTGATCCAGGCTTCTAGCAATGTAAAACAATTAATGAATTCTTTCTCAAAGGCATGGGTCACACTGTCATCAAGTTTCAGAAATGTAGATAATTAATTATTATTGTGAAATAGTCTTCTCCCTCCCCATTTTATCCCCACAACAAAGCTGTGAGGTGGGTTACACTGTGAGGCAGTGACTAGCCCAAGGTCACTTAAGTGAGCTTAATGACCAGGTATGGATTTCAACCCTGGTCTTCCAGGTCCTAGTCAAATGCTCTAAACACTATACCACACTGGTGTACCTGTTGCTTCTATGGTCATTTCTATTGCAATGCTAGTAGTTTTTGAAAGTCATATGTTGCTGAAAAGCTGGTTAATTTGGAGGGTCAGATTGGGTCCAAAAGGAGTCATCTTTGAACCAACCCATACATAGACCCTTCTGATGCAAATGAGGAGCTCAGTTTTCTTTTGCCTCTAAACTCGATGTGGGTGGCAGGAGAGGGGATTGGGCAGAGCAAGGTGGCACTTTGTATTGGCTGAGCAAGAGGCAAACTTGTTGCTGACACAAATCCACCGCCTCCAAGGCCCACAGACATTCTGATTCCTTATATCTTTGAGGGATGCTCTGTTAGTGGTCCTTGGATATATGGTTTGTATCCACCAGGAGCCATGCATTCAATATTGTGTGCCAAGTTCTGTGACACTCCCTCCCAGCTGAGATCAGACAGGCCTCCTGACTGTTGAACTTCAGGTGCTTGACAATGGCTTTCCTATTTCAGCAGGTGTCTTAAGTAAGCTGTACTTATGCCTGTTTATGGAACTGACATTTTCACTTTTTATTTTAAGTACCATATTGTTTTGGTTGATCTATAAACTACTTTTTGGCTTCTATGGTGAAAAGAGGTTTATAAATATTGATGATAGTTTTTATTTTATTGAAAAGGGCTATTTTGTTCATAATTCATTCTGCTGCCTCAGAACCAGGTGGTATATTGGTTTGAATGTTAGAACAGGACCTGGGAGCATTGGATTCAAATCCCCACTCAGCCCTGAAATTCACCAAGTGACCTTGGATCAGTCACTATCCTATCAGCCTAACTTCCTTTCCTGAGTTGTAAGGAAAAAATAGGGGTGTGTGTGTGTGTGTGAACAATCACATAAGGTCATTAGAGGAATAGTTGTGTAAATATGTCATAATAATTCCCTAGTTGCATGAGGAAAGTGTGCATGCTCAGTTCTTGTTTGGGTTTATGGATGCATAGGGGGCGCTTCTGACTTGATTTAATTACTCTTATCCTGCTTTTCTGTCCAGGATCTTACAGCCTCTTACATGATTAAAAACAGTAAGATGATTAAAACACTCATCATAAAAAGTGTGATTTCCAACCTCCCTTGATTTTTCTGCAAAGGTGGGGTGTATATTGTAGCTATAACACCTGCTCAGCTTACCCTCCTCTCCTTCTCACACTTGGGTGTATGCATGTGGACATCCTGTCTAACAAATATAGGGAGTTAAAAGGGGAAGCATAGCTATGCTTGTGCACAAACGCCAGATTTTTCAAATATTAATCCTTATGGTCTCCTGGGATGTATATTTTAATTATGTATATTTCACACATATAATGCTTTTTCTTATTGGAAATAAAAGAACCTGATAGCTGTCTACCTAGCTAATAATTGACACTGGAGTGAAAACTGGATTATTTTATTCCTTTAGGCTCTCAGAACAGAATTCTACAATGCAAAACATGACTTGGAAAAAAAGATCGCGGTACGTCTTGAATTTTCCCTTTCCTTTCTAGTTGTTGTGTATTGGCAGGTACAACCTTTGCAAGTGTCCTTTTATTCTACCATGAGTAGGAGCTGACGCTCATGTTGTTTCCAGACAGTTTTTAGCCAAGGAGAGAGCTTCCAATATTAAAAGGTTTTGCAAGGAGTGCAGTGTGTGTTGTTAAGCTTTGTCAGGCATTGATCAGGATGGAGAACTTTCAGTCCTTCAGATGCTTATTGAACTTACAATAACCCCAGCCAGCATACATTGTAAAGTCAGTTACATGTCAGACATGCACGTCTGAGTAGGCTTGCTTAAAGAAGCAAGTTTTTAAAGGTAAAGGCAAAGGTACCCCTGACCGTTAGGTCCAGTCGCGGATGACTCTGGCGTTGCATGCTCATCTTGCTCTATAGGCCGAAGGAGCCGGCGTTTGTCCACAGACAGCTTTCCGGGTCATGTGGCCAGCATGACTAAGCCGCTTCTGGCGAACCAGAGCAGCACATGGAAACGCCGCTTACCTTCCCGCCGGAGCGGTACCTATTTATCTACTTGCACTTTAATGTTCTTTCAAACTGCTAGGTTGGCAGGAGCAGGGACCGAGCAACGGGAGGTCACCCCGTCACGGGGATTCGAACTGCCGACCTTGTGATCGGCAAGCCCTAGGCTCTGGTTTAGACCACAGCGCCACCCGCGTTCCTTTTACAGCATACTTTGTAAAGTCAAGTTACATGCATGTCAGACATGCACATCTGAGTAGGCTTGCTTAAAGAAGCAAGTTTTTAGGAGGTGCCAAAAACTCTACAGTGAAGGTGCCTGCTTAATATTCATCATAAACACAGTGGGTAACCAGATACCTTTGGGGACACCCTGGCCCTCCCCCTCCTCTACTGTGGTTCTCCAGCAGCTGGTATACAGAGGCACATTGCCTCTGATCCTGGAGCTATCTTGCAACCACCATAACTAGTAGCCCAATAGCTTTATCGTCCCTCTATCAGTTTCTTATTCTCTTTTCAAGCCATCTAAATTGTTGGCCGGTGCCACATCCTGTGGCAGCATATTTCACACTTAATGTGCTGTGTGAAAAGAGCTTGGATGAAGAGTCTGTTTAGTTCAGCGTCCCGTCTCCCACAGTGGTTGAGAAGCCCATAAGCAGGGTGGTTGCCTGGTGTACTGCCTTTGAAAACAGAGCTTCTGTTTAGCTTTTTTGGCTAGTAGACATTGATAGACCTCTCACTCACCTTTCTAAAGCCACCCAAGCCATCTCCACAGTGGAGAAGCACATGGAAAAAGCCTCCACCTTTTATCTCTCTTGCACCACTATCCATCTGGCCAGTTCTCACAGCTAATCTGGCCTCTCATCACTCTATCAGTGAGATGCTTATCTTCCCTCCAGCAAACATGCCACAACATTGTGGAATGCAGTGGAGCGTTCTGGAGGCGTTGTGGGACTGAGCTGATTCAGAATCTGTTGGATCCCAAGCCAGTCCCACTGTTGTCATGCAGTTGCACTGGACCCAGTTGCAGTGTCAGCTCCAGGATGGCACAGGAATCCTACTGCCCCCCCCTGCACCTTCTGCCCTGGACAGTTCTGTGAAATCCCACTTTGGCTGTGTTGTATTTCAGCCTTAAAAGGTAGGAGAATAGGCAAGAGTTGCTTTAACCACATTATAAATGTTAAGGATTGCTCCTTTTGTGCATGACAAAATATTGGGTAAGCAGCATATATGCAGGATAGGGCACCTTTGCCAGGAAAGCTTCAGGCCTAGTTCTTATGGTGGCCAACCTGCATCTACATTGTGCCACTTCAGGCAGGAGGTGGGAACTCACATGAGAGAATGCTGCTGTGTAACCAAAATTCTATGCACTTAGAAAACAAGCTTCTCAGGGAGGGTTCTAACCTTGCCATCTCCCTTACACATTAGTTTTCTGTATACAGAGATTTCTGAGTGGAGGAACATTCAGCTACAGAACCCCCCTACCCCACCCGCCATAGCGTGAAGTGGCCCAGCCCAGGTAGAGATTTCCTATCTCAACAGTGAAAGGCTTGTGGCAAAGCTTATGTGGTCCAGATTGCAGTTGCCCTGAGTGAGGAGCTGTGCTCTTGCTTGATGCCTGTGAAAGTATTCTTAATATACAAAATGTGTTTCTTGAAAAAGGATAACTGTATGCATTTACTTTTAATCCTCAGTCACTCCAGAAGGAACTTCATGAACGAGAGATGGAGCTTTCTGTCGAAAAGATAAATGCTTTGAAACGAGACAAAACTATCCAGGGATTAGTCCTTGCTGTAAAAGTGAAAGAAAAGGAGGTACATGGATTATGTTATTCTGATAAAAATGTATTCAAGCCATGCTTGATAGTAACAGATTGAGGGAAGGGCAGGGTGGACATTCTAGGAAGTCTTGAGGGTTAAGAATACCTACTTAGAGCAAGAGAGGGGAACATTTTTCAGTTCGAGAGCCACATTACCTTCTGGGCAACTTTCTGAGAGCAACATGCCACTGCTGAGCAGGCCAGGGGCAAAAGCAGATGAAACAATGGATGTATATTTTCCCTTTAACAATTAGGCTATTTTCCACCCCACCCCCTCTATTCCCCCATCCAGGAAAACAAGTGGCAATATCAATATATCAATACATCGCCCAGGACCAGTTTCAGGGCCAGAGTGTGATGTTGCCTTCACCTAGTGGTATATCATGGGTGAAACTGGGCTGCTCCTGACTCAGGAATGGTGGTGCCTTCACCTGCGATATACTGCTGGGTGAAGGCTCCATCACGCTCGGGCCCTCAAACTGAGGGAGGAACAAGCTGCGAGGTGCCAGAGCTGATGCAGCTCGTTTTCGCCCTCGGAGCACCAGGTGCCCATGTGCACAGAGGAACGAGCTGCACTGGCCCCGGCCTCGCAAGGCACCAGTGTGAAACTCGTTGCTCCCGCCAAGGCCCGGGCCTGATGCAACTTGTTCGTCCCTCCGCTTTTCAACATTCCAATGTATCACTATGTATATCACAATGTTTGGCTGGTGATACATTACAATGTTGAAAAGCTGATAATCAGCCAGCCCTAATTGGAGGTCAAAAACACATTTAGTCCAGGTAAAAATACTTTCTGTGCAAAGCAGGGGTTGTGAAGTGTGACCCAGTGAGAGTTTTGAGGGCCAGATAGAGAGGTCTGGAGCCCATGGTTGGCCCTCACCCATGATCTAGAGATAGAGAAACCCTGCTGGATCAGATTTTCTAGTGTAGTATCTCACAGATGCCTCCAAGAAGTCCAAAAGTAAGATGCAAAAGGAATAGCCCATTACCATGGTTGTACTCTAGTTGCTGGTATTTAGTTGTTTGCTGCTTCTGAAGATGGAGGTTCTACTTAGCCATCATTGCTAATATATGGTTGGGTTTAAGGTGGAAGCTAATATAGTGTTCTGTATCTTTAAGGGAATAGGATATTCATGGGGAAGTTGTATTCTTACAGCTGTCGGATTTTGGTCTTTCTCCCCTGAATGAGAGAGTAATATTGGCAAATACTGGGAACACTCCACTCATTCCTGTACATCAGGGGTCTGCAAGGTTTACCTCGCCTGGGCTGGTTCACTCCAGCGGAGATCCCTCCGTGGGCCGGATTGTGAGTGCGAGCGCCCATGATTTCTGGCGTCTGCATTTGCGCAGGCATGATTTCTGGCATCTGCGTCTGTGCAGACACTATTTCCGGCGCCGCGGAAGCTAGTCCCCGTGCCGTGCTGCGCCAGTTTAGTGCAGCGCGCAGGGACTCGTGGGCCAGTTAAACAACCCCTGTGGGCTGCTTGTGGCCCATTGGTTTTAGGTTGCCGACCCCTGCTGTAGATTGAGGGCATCCTCAACCATTCAGGGTGTCGTGTGTTTTGAGTTGTTCTTCTGTGGGCACAACTGCAGAGCCAAGCAGGGGGAAAGCATCAGAAAGAGGCATGGTAATGGGACAGGATCAGGTTTCCCCACTCCTGTGACAGTGGAGGCTCTGCCCCACCTGGCACAAATTATGAAATCCAAGGTGTGCCAGTCTCACTTCCAGGCAACAGAAGCATGTTCCCAGATCTCATGAGAAATGGCAGTCTTGAGGTTTCTGGGGTGAAACTGGAAAGTGGCTATGAGTGGGGAAGTGTCATTTAAAAACTTGAGGCAGTTCATCTGAGTGCCTGGAAGCAAAGTGGGATGGAGAATACAATTTGGCTCTTGTTGGAAATATCCTACTCTCATCTGTCTGTGGCTTGGGTGGGAAACCCTGAGCCAAGAACCCTGCACTGTGCTCCCACAATCTCCTACAGTAGTCAAATGATGGTTGGGTTCCCCAGTGTTAGTTTGAACGCAGGGTTGACCTTTTTCTTTCCAGATTGTTTCTTCTTTCTTAGGCAAAGGCTTTGACTCCCCCATTTGTTGGTTATAGGCCAGGGATGGGAAACCTTGGCCTGGAGGTTAAATGAGGCCCTCCAAGCCTATCATTCTGACCCTCAGGAATCTCCCAGACATGGCCCCTTACTATCTCTGCTTTGCACCTCCTTGAGTGTATTTGCTGGGCTGGAATGTGTCCTTAAGCTCTGATCATGCCTTTTGCTTGCATGGATGGATAACAGAGAGGGGTGTGCAAGTGTGTATGGGGAGGGCAGAGCAAAGATTGGTACCAGCCCAACCTCTGGAAGTGGGTGGGAGAGACTCCTCATTGCCCGTCCTCTCTCTCTGCAGAAAAAAGAACATTCCTGGGAAATGCTGGCATTCTTTTTTCATATGATTGTGGTGGTGTTTTTGTTCTTGCCCTCTCTTGGCTCTTATGTGTCTTTCACATCCATGAGATTTCACCCCTTTCTGTGTTCTTTTGTTCAGAATGAAAAACTTTGCTCTGAAATTGAAGATTTAAACACACCATTGGCTGAAGCCACCCAGAAAATTCAGATGCGGAAATTCAAGGTGAGACAATAAGGACTATTATGGATACTTCTGTTCCTCCACCCTGTATTTCCAGGCAGAATCAGAGAATAGAATCAGAGAAGGGACCCAAGAGTCATCTGGTCCAACCCCCTGCAATGTAGAAATCTCAGTTAAAGCACCCATTACATATGGCTAGCCAACCTCTGTTAAAAAAACTTCCAAGGAAGGGGAGTCCACCACCTCTTGTGGGAGTCTGTTCCACTGCCAAACAGTTCTTACTGTCAGAAAGTTTTTTTGAATGTTTAGTCAGAATCTCCTTTCTTGTAACTTGAAGCCAGTGCCTTCAGTCCTACCCTGCAGAGCAGGAAAAAACAAGCTTGCTCCCTCTTCCATGTGACAGCCCTTAAGATATTTGAAGATGGCTATCATATCTCTGGTCCAGGGGGTCATGAAGAGTCAGACACGACTAAATGACTGAACAACAACAAAAATCATATCTCCTAGTCTCCTCTTTTCCAGGCTAAACATACCCAGCTCTTTCAAGAGCTCCTTAGAAGACTTAGTTTCCATACCTTTGATCATCTTGATCTGCACACGTTCCAACTTGTCAACATCCTTCTTAAATTGTGGTGTACAGAATAGGACACAGTGTTCCAGGTGTGGTCTGACCAAGGCAGAATAGAGTGGTACTATTACTTCCCTTGATCTGGACACTATACTTCTGTTGTTCAGCCTAGAATAGTGTTAACTTTTCTCCCCTGCTGCATCACACTGTTGACTCATGTTAAGCTTGTGGTCCACCAAGACTCCCAGATCCTTTTCACATGTACTGCTGGTAAGCCAGGTGTCACACATCCTATATTGGTGCATCTGGTTCTTCCTGCCTAAGTGCAGAAATTTACATTTGTCTTTATTGAGATTCATTTTTCTAGCTTGTACCCAGTTCTCCAATCTGTTACAGTCATTCTGAATTCTGATTCTGTTTTCTGTGGCATTAGCTACCCCTTCCAGTTTGGTGTCATCTGCAAATTTGATGAGCATCCCCTCAATTCCTTCATCCAACTCATTTATAAAGATGTTAAACAACAATGGACCCAGGACAGAACCCTGCAGAACCTCTTCTGTCACTCTTTTCCAGGATGACAAGGAACCATTAATGAGTACTCTGGGTTCAGTCAACCAGCTACAAATACACCTAACAGTTACCTCGTCCAACCCACTTTACCAGCTTCCTTGTGAGATTATGATGGGGGACTTTGTCAAAAGCCTTACTGAAATCAAGATACACTGTGTCCACAGCATTTCCCTGATCCACTAAGTTTGTAATTCTATCAAAATAATAACTTATTTCTGAGAAACCCATGCAATCACAGCATCCTTTCTAAATGTTCACAGACCAACTGTTGAATTATCTGTTCTAGGACCTTCCCTGGTATCGATGTCAAGCTCACTGGTCAGCCATTATCTGTGTTTCCTTTCCCCTCTTTTTGAAGATGGGGACAATATTTGCCCACATCCAGTCTTTAGGGACCTGACCTATTCTGCAAGAATTCTCAGAGATAATAGGCAAAGGATCTGAAATTACACCTGCAAGCTCCTTTAGTTCCCTTGGATGCAGCTCCTCAGACCCTGGAGATTTGAATTCATTTAAAGTAGCTAGGTGTTCCCTTACTACCTCTTTTCCTATTTTGTGTTCCCTCCTTTCATCATCTATTCTGTTATCACCAGATTAGGCATCACTTTCCTTTTGAGTGAAGACAGAGGCAAAGTAGGTGTTGAATAGTTCTGCCTTCTCTCTTTCACTCAATAGCATTTCTCCATCTTCCCTATGCAGAGGACCTATCACTTGCTTGTTCTTCCTCTTACTTCGGACATAGCCAAAGAAACCTTTTTTATTATTTCTAACCTCTCTTGCAACCCTGAGCTCATTTTGAGCTGTAGCCAGCCTGATGTTCCCCCTGCAACTGTTGGCTACTCCTGTATACTCCTCCTTTGTAATTTCTGCTTTCTTCCATTTCTTATACACCCCCTTCTTAACTCTCAGCTCATCTGTAAGCCCCTTATGCAGTCACACTGGTTTCCTTAGATGCCTCCCACTTTTCTTTCTTGCATTTGGGCCTTCAATATTTCTCCTTTAAGAAACTCCCATCCTTCTTGGACTCCCTTCTCTTTGAGTATTTCTAACCATGGGATCACACTCAGTAGCTCCTTCAGCTTTTTGAAACTGGCCTTAAAGTCCAGAGTGTGTATCCGGCTACACTCAGTTTTCCCTTGCCTATGTATCCTGAAACCCAGGAGAACACGATCACTTCCTCCCAAGTTTCCGAGCACTTCCACTTCATCGATCAGCTCCTCCCTATTGGTGAGGACCAGGTCCAAGATAGATGATCCCCTTGTTAGTTCTTCCACTTTCTGGGAAATGAAATGGCTAGCGAGGCGATGGAGGCATTTGTCAGACCTTACAGACTTGGCAGAGTTTGAGTCCCAACAGATATCGGGGAAGTTGAAGTCCCCCATGAAATCTATTTATTGCTGATGGGCTTTTATTTTTTGCCGATGGGCTATTTATTGCTGATGGGCCTTTGGAATTGGTAAGATTAGTTAATTTGTTAAGTCACTGTTGCTAGAAGCTCTGACTGGTTTTTTGCCTGTCCCTCACTGCTGGCTAATGTGCTTTCTTTTGACAGACCAGGGTAGAATCATTTCCTGGATTACCCCAGCAGGGGCCCAGTTGGGTCCCTTGGCAGTGGGTCTTGGTAACCTCCCTAGGTAGACGTCTAACTGTGCTTTTGTGGATTGTAAGAATAATGTTTTTAGGAAGAATCCATGGCTTGCATATTACTCTGTGGTAGCCAATCTCTGTGTGGGGTATACCACTTCAGAATGCAGATGAGGGGTGGTGGGCTCATATGATAGAATGCCTCCCCATAAAAATATTCCCTGCATGCAGAAAGCTAGCACATTTGAGGAAAGGCAGCCCTGGAATTCTCCGCCCTTGACATATATAGGGCTGTATGCAACTCAGTTATACTCAAAGTATGTCCATTTAAATTAGTGAACCTATTGTTAGTGATGTCATTCAGTTGGTCTACTCTGAGTACAAGTAGCATTGAATACCACTCAGTTTTCTATGTGCAGCATTTTTTTATTTATGGAGCAGTGTTCAGCTATGTGAACCCTGTCTGAAGTAGTACAGCCTCAACATGTCAACCAGTTTGGTGTGACTGTTGAGTGGCTTAAGAGTGTGCCATCCACAGTTTTCTCCATAGAACTAAAGAAGCTGGAAGAGAGTAGGTTTTGTTAATTCTAAATAGATCATCTTCTCCTTTTCCTTAGCCTAATTGCTCACAGTTGTGATGCTAGACATAAGCAGAAAGCCCATCTGCAAGTTTTTGTTGTATAGTAGAAACTTGCCTGATGCTAAAATTACTTGCCCTAGGCAAGCAGCTAATAATAAACCTGCCTTTAGAAGTCTTAATATGTTCCGGAATGTCTGTTCTACAAGCTTCATTTGGAGAATATTTGTAGCTAGGCTCTTTTCGCAAAACAGTTTGGGCAACTGGGCTTGTCTTGCATTTGTGACATGAAAACTATGTTGATGTAGAGCTGTGAAAGGCATGAAAATAAAAGAGAAAGTTGTCTTCTGTGTTGCATGACTTGTGCTAACTGAAGTCACTGCTTTTTTTTCTAGGGTGTTGAAGATCCTCAGACTCTCTTGATGGAAAAAGAAAGTCTCCTGGCGGATTTGCGTTCTGAAAACCTGACCAAAGATCTAGAGAACCATAATCTTCAAAGGAAAGTTAAGAAGACCGAACAAGAGTTGCATGATTTGAATCTTGAGAAAGAGACATTGGTAAAGGAACTAGAAGAGGCTCAGCTACAGAAAAGTAGAAGTGACAAAGCCATTAATGTTAGTATTCAGTTTTCCCTGTGTTTAAGAAATGCAGTTAAAAATAGTTTGCATAATTTGTAACTTCCTAAACATGAATATGAGTTGTGAGCAGGGAGAACTCACTGGAACTCAGTTCCGGCACCATTCAGGTAGGCGCCATTGCCATTCTAAGAGAACAAGGGAGGTATTCATGGTGCGTTCCGGCACCTCTTTTTCTCGAAAAAGGCTACTGCCAACTCTACTTTGGAGATAAAAGGTAGTCCTCTTGCAACCCCTCCCAGACTTCTGCTTACTCATTGTACCCACGCTAATAGAACCTGTTACAAAAGGTTGAAGTTTGTGCTGCTTCTGTTCTGGCTGCTTCAATCCATTCCACTCCCTGCCCCCTACACATGGGTCTAACAATTACTCTAATGTGAGTGGAAGTGAACTTTCCTTACCTCCTCAGTTATTTTTCATCCAGCCCTGTTTCCTTCCTGAATCAGAGTTGGTCTAGAGGAGAAAAGTTTGAGTAACTGAGCCTTGAGAGGTGATGTGCGAGGGGATTCAAGTACTCTCACTTGTTTTCTTGTTAAAATGAACACACCATATATGTGACCTGGTCCAAAAGTGGCTAATTTATGTGGTGTCAGATCTGGTTTAGCCCCTCATTCCCCTCAAGGCCACTTGTAATATTACTTAAAGCCAGCAGAGGGGTCTCTCTGTCCACAGATCCAAGGCATCTCCCTCTCTGCCGTAATCCACTTATATATGATAACTGAATTACAGATGCAGTCTCTTGTCTGCTGGTTCTCTGATTCTCCACTCCACGGTGAACCTCTGAGACACCATCGAGACAGCCTCTATCATTAAGACAGGAGTTGGCAACGATAGAACGTTTATAATAGTCTGAAGATAATTTTCAGTGTGCATTTACCATAGTCTGCATATCTGTTTTGCCATCATAGCAGGCACCAAACTATAGTGGTTTGAATGTGTTATTCTTTATTCAAAAAATGGTTCTCTTAAATGTGAAAAAACTTTGAGCTACCCTTTGAAAATCATTATGGTTTTGGTGTGTGGAAAAAAGATAGTAAGAATATGAACATAGGGCTTCCAACTCTGCCTTTTTCTTTTTTTTTTTTTTGGAGGAATAGACTATTGCTGCTGGTATTGGCCTGTGTACTGACATGACATCTAGTTAGTGTGCTAATTTTTGCTTCAGTTCCTCACCAGTGCTGGCATGTTCACTGCTGCCTTAGGAGCATAGGTAGTTGCCTTGCACTGAATCATACCACTGGCCCATCTAACTCAGTACTGTATGCACTGACTGGCAGCTGCCAGGTTTTAGGCTGGATTTGTTATTGTGTGTAAGGGCTGGGTGCATATTTGCCCAGCAGAATTATTTGTACCTACCTTGGCTTGAGCTAAAGCTCCTAGGATTTTTCAAAACTTGTATTCAACTGATGTACATTTGTAGTGTGGACCTGCTGGCTGTATTTGCATGTCACAGTAGACCATGGTTTAGTACAGGGGTGGGTGACCTTCAGCTCAAGGGCCACATTCTCTCAAAGGCATCCTTTGGCAGGGTGCATTCCAGTGCTAGGCATGGCTAGATGCAAAAGTGGGCAGATCAACAGATGTGACTCTTTACCTTTGTACGGGAGGTTACATTCCAGGCATGCACAAGCCAGAGATTTATACACACCTCGATCTATCCACCTACACCTCTATCCATCCAAGTAAGCAAGGTGCGTTGTCACATTTCAAGGACATTATTTTGGCCAGTCAAAAGCACTTGAGGAGGGCTTACACCTGAGATCTTATAGAACTGCTGCCTGTCAGAGTAGACTATACAGGACTAGATCATAGAATCATAGAGTTGGAATAGACCACAAGGGCCATCGAGTCCAACCCCCTGCCAAGCAGGAAACAATGGTGTGATCCAGGGGTCAGCAAACTTTTTCAGCAGGGGGCCAGTCCACTGTCCCTCAGACCTTGTGGGGGGCTGGGCTGGACTATATTTGGGGGGGGAAATTGAACGAATTCCTATGCCCCACAAATAAGCCAGAGATGCATTTTAAATAAAAGCACACATTCTACTCATGTAAAAACACCAGGCAGGCCCCACAAATAACCCAGAGATGCATTTTAAATAAAAGGACACATTCTGCTTGTGTAAAAACATGCTGATTCTTGGACCGTCCGCAGGCCGAATTTAGAAGGCGATTGCGCCGGATCCGGCCCCCCGGGCCTTAGTTTCCCTACCTATGGTCTGGCCTATATAAAGCAATTTCATGTGACTGTCCCTTCTGCTTTCCCCAAGGATGACAAAAAGGCTGGAATGAGAGGATTAAGGAGTTATCTCTCAGGATTTCCACAAGACTGAATTCATCATTGTGCCACTTTATGACCTCTTAGCTCTTCCCACAGATGTTTGCTCAGAGGACCAAAGTCCTTGCTAAATGATCTGCAGCATCCTCAAAAATTGAAGCCTGATCATCTTTTAATGCGGCCTGCTGTATCAAACACCAGAGCCACTGCTGTGAGTTGAATGCATTTCACTGGAAGCCTGGATGTGAAAATGTTTGCCCATTGAACAGGCAGGCAGGAGTAAAGAGCACACGGCAATATTTTCCTTATTTGACAATTTGGAACCCATTTGAGGGCTGTGATGCAAAATCTCTGTGAACGAGCTCAGCCGCCCCTGTTCTATTAACGTTAGGCAAAATGGTTGCTGTGCTGTGTTGCCAGCCCATAAAACTTTAACAAAATGAACCGTGCCAGGTTTTTTTTTTTTTTTTGCTCCTTTACATCAAATTCTGAATATAGAAGGGAAATCTGAGCTGCTGGCTGGGAAATTAAATGATCTCTAAAATAGAATCATTGTAGAATCAGTGGTCCTTACACATAGTTGGGTAGAACAGCCACACTGTTGCATATCCATGGGGGAATCAGTGGGGAGCTGGCTGTGCAATTGCCTGCTCCCACCCTTCTTATAGGCCCAAGCCAGCTGCTTCTCCTCCTCCTTGTGCCACACTCACTTCAAGGGGGCAGGTGAGCAAAGAGTGACGGAGAGGAGGGAGGGCTCCAGGGCAGAGGCAGTTTTAGGGTAGTGCAACTAGTGTGGTTGCACTGGGCACCATGCTGTAGGAGGTGCCAAAACAATGCTATAGAGCAGAACATGAGAGGTGGGGACTGCGCCAAATTTTAGCTTGCACAGGGCACCACTGAAATTTGAGAGCCCAAAGCCTGCCACTGCCAGGGGTTGACAGTGGGCGCTCTGTTGAGGTATGGACCTTGACCGGTGGTGACTCCTGAAGCTTTGATACAAGGCAGGAGTGAGGAACCTCAGGAACCAGGGTCAAATATGGCCCTCCAGGCCCTTGAACACTGATAGTGCCTTTTGCTTGTCTAGATGGGGGATAGACAGGGGTGTATGGATTGAAAATGGTGTATAAAAGCACAAAATGTACATTTTTTTGTTCCACCCACATTTGCCTCTGGCCCAACCTACCTCTGCCATGTGATCCCTGGAAGGTTGCCTGAAAAAAACTTTGGCCCTTGAGCTAAAATATGCTTATCAGCCCATGGTGTAAGGCAGGGGTCTGCAACCTGCGGCTCCGGAGCCGCATGTGGCTCTTTTACACCTTTGCCGCAGCTCCGGGGCGGATACTAGCAAGGGGAGGAGGCGCATTGTGCGCCCCGACACTCCCCACTGTGGCGGGCGCTGTACTGGCTGTGACGTCGCATGGGGGCGGTGCGTGCGTTGGTCAGTGCCCGCTGTCAGATCAGAGGGCAGCGGCGCGCATGCTTTAAATGTCGTGATGGTTTTGCGGCTCCCAGGTTTTTTTTCCTTCGGAAACGGGTCCAAGTGGCTCTTTTTGTCTTAAAGGTTGCAGACCCCTGGTGTAAGGGAAGCAAAACAGCCTGTAGCAAGTCTCAGGAACTAAAAATGGAGGCTGCAGCAGTCCATGGAAGACCACAGGCCAAAGAAGCAAAGGATAAAGCCAAGGGGAATGAAAGCTGAAATGTGTTAGTTATGAGCCTAATCTGTTACGATTTTAGAGCTTTTAAATTTATGCTGTGTGAGTGTGTGTGTTCTTTGGGGGAAGTCTTGTGCTTGACTCTGATTCAGAGTCTTGACAGTGGCTGGATTTTGGAGTCATGACACTAATAGGCTACACAGTGAGCTTCGTGGTGGGTTTTAACCTGATTTTTTTCCTTTCCAAACCCAACAATATATAATTGCTATGTCACAGTAATTTCCATTTTCTCTCCTTGGGCCGGGTTTGAAGGCGGATTAATCTTATCTGTAGGAACTAGAATGATCCTGAGCATATGGCTACTTATGCACCTAAAAACTTGTTTCTGGCATACAGTAAAGTACAAAAATATTTTTAGTATTAAGGCCAGTTAATTAGCTCTACCCAGTTGTATTCTGTGTACTTGACTCAGTGCTGAGACTCTACTATGCTGTATCTGTGGAGTGGATTGCAGATTTTAGTGTGCTTTTTGCTTTTTGTTTTACTCTGAAGCAGTTAACATTTTGGGGCTTTGGGTGGATTTCACAGATGTTAGGAAATCGCCAGAGACGATGGAAGAAAATGGAGCCTTGCAGATGACACAAAGCTCCTCTGACAAAGTATTAAAAGAATTTAGCAGGAAACACAAGTGGACCTTTGGGGTACACGCAGCAGAGCTTTAGTCTTTCTTTAAGCAAATCCCCAAATTCAGGAATTCTTCCAAGCCATTGAGTCTGCAACACATTTGCCAGCAGCTGATTAATAATGTGCATCTACCAAATAACAGCTGGTTTAATAAGGTGCATCTACCAGTAACTGTCCGTCATCTTTGATCAAATGGTTGGGAATAGACCAGTGTTTCCCAACCGGTGTTCCGCGGCACACTAGTGTGCCGCGATACGTTGCCTGGTGTGCTGCGGGAAAAATTGGCGGGGGGGGGGGGAATAAAGGGGAAAAAAATTATTCCCCCACCGCCAGGCGTGGGGCTGGGGCGGGGGAAGCCCGAGCTTCCCCCTCCCCCAGAACGGGACCCAGAGCCATGCCGAAGCTGCGCGCAGCTTTGGCATCGCTCTGGGAGCTTGCGGGGCTGGGGGAGGAGGAAGCCCTCCGCCAGCCTCCAAACCATGTCGGGAGACAGCGGGATGGCGCGCTGCGCCTCTCCCGCTGTCCCCCGAGTTTGCAGGGCTGGCGATGGGGAGGAGCAGGCTTCTCCCCCCGCCAGCCTTCCAGCCAAGTTGGGGGGCAGCGGCAAGGGCACGCTGGGTTTCTCCGCTGTCCCGGACGGCTTTCAAAAGCCTGCCTTCAAAAGCCGTCCGGGACAGCGGAGAAACGCGCTGCCTTTCTCCGCTCTCCCGGGAAGGCAGGCAGGGGGGAGCAAAGACTTTTGCCCCCGCCCACCTTCAGAAGAGGTCCAGGTCCAGGTTTTTTAAAATGCTGGGGGTGGGAAGAAAAGCCCTTGTCCCCCCCCCCCAGCCTTCAGAAGAGGTCGGGGGACAGACTGTCCCCGGACCTGGTCTGAAGGCGGTTTCCCTAGGAACGCATTAATTGATTTTCAATGCATTCCTATGGGAAACCGTGCATCGCAAGACGAAAAACTCGCAAGACGAAGAGACTTGCGGAACGAATTAATTTCGTCTTGCGAGGCACCACTGTATCCGGAGAGGCGGTCTTCAGGCGAGTTTTAATTTTAATTTTCCTTCTCCCACTTAATGCCCCACGCTCGCCCGAGCAGCTTGCAGTCCTCGGTAACCACGGCGACCCGAGGGAGGGAGGGAACAGGGAAGTCGAGGGCGGCGGCGAGCCGCGATGACGTCAGTGGGCCGCGCCGCCTCGCCCTGGCACGGTGTGAGAGCCCCGGCTAGTGGCGCGAGCTTCAGAATAAGTGGGATCCGCGTGCACGAGACCGAGATTGCGGGTAAGGAGCTCAGCCCTGGGCAGGAGGAAGCGGGGCCGCGCGTGCGGGCCACATCCCCACAGAGAGCGAGCCTCCCCCGGCCCACCACTCCGGGCAGGTCCACTCGCATGAGGGGGCGGCGATGGCGACGGCCGGCAGCTTGCCTGCAATGCCATCCCTCGAGCAGGCGAGGAGCCCGGAGGCTACCAGATGCGAGTCCTCTTTCCCACCCTGCTCGGGAGTCCAGAGCACTTGGTCGCATTCAGGATCTAGAGTGGGGAAGCGGGGCTTGTGTCTGGGCTGGACACATTGGGCTGCCTGTGCCGCTCGACCTGCGGGGAGAAATCAGGGTGGGAGTCACGACCGTGAGGCAGGGCTGCCAAGTGTGGCAGAAGAGGACACGGCCGTCGCACCTGCCCTTAGGTAGGAGCTTCTTCCGTGTCGACCTGCTGCCCTAAAGTCTTGACTTTTTTCTTGGCTTTTTGGCGGTTGGCACAGAAGGAAGGCAAGGGGGAGGGAAAAAAATTGAAACTTACACTTTCGTGCGTCCCTCCCGGTGTGACGCTGCGCGCTGACGTCACGGGGCTGTAATGGTGGTGTGCCTCGAGATTTTTTTCATGAAACAAGTGTGCCTTTGCCCAAAAAAGGTTGGGAAACACTGGAATAGACAATAAGTCATTGTGTTGGATCTATTATGTGATGGTTGTCCCACCACCCCTGCCCTCAATCTTGAACTGAAAGGGTTGGGAGCTTAATATTTTAATTATTCATTCTTTTCCCACCTTTTTTCTATTTGACCAAGGGGGAGGACACTTCTCTGACCTTCAGTCTGAATTCTTTTAAGAATGGCTTTCCCATTCATTTGGGAACCGCCTCTCCTGGTATGCCCCACAGAGAAACTTACGGTCTTCAAATAAAAACATCTTGAAGGTCCCAGGCCACAGAGAAGTTAGGCTGGCCTCAACTAGAGCCAGGGCTTTTTCGGCTGTGGCTCCAATCTGGTGGAACACTCTGTCACAAGAGACCAGAGCTGTTCCACCAGGCCTTTGGCCAGGGCACAGCCTGACTCCCTCCCTCGGCAATCTTTGCGGAGCTCTGGCCCAATGGTTGCCAGTGGCTTGAATTAATTAATTTTATAATGAATGATTTTAGAGTGTTGTTTATGCTGTACTTTTGTACTGTTTTATTATTGTTAGCCGCCCTGAGCCCGGCTTCGGCTGGGGAGGGCGGGATATAAATAATATTTATTCTTATTCTTATTCTTATTCTTATTATTATTATTATTTTCTAAATTCAGTCATTATTCATCACAGAGCACTCCCTGGAAAAATGAGTTGTGGTGGTCAGGAGGTATTTGGCAGAAAGCATCTCTCATGGAGAATTGGCTCATTCTGTTTGTTGAGACATAGAGACCACTCACTTTCTTTGGGTTGTTCCATTGGAACCTGGTCCCTGAAAAGAAAATACATTTCATTTAAGATAACATAGTGTTTCATTAGTAGAAGGGACTCCAAAATCACTCAACTTGTTTAACCAAAAAACCCGGGCTGTATAATTGGGATCAGTTAATTTTCTTTATTTAGGAAGCTGCATTATGCCAAGTCAGATTGTTGGTCCATCTAGTTCAGAATTCTCTAGACTCACTGGCAACTGATCTCCAGGATTTCAGGCAGGAAGTCTCTCCCACTGTTCCTGGAGATGCTGGGTACTGAACCTGGTGCGTTCTACTTGCAAAGCAGATTGTCTGTCACTGAACTATCAGCACTTTCCCTTTGTTCTTTGTTCCATGTATATCCCACTTTTTCTTCTATGAAAGATCTTGAGGCATATTCGTGTTCCTGTGTGGTCTTGTGTTCAGATAAAACTATAACACCAGAATTCATTCAAAATGCCTGCCGTGGTGAATGCCTCCAATGGCATGAAGCCAAGTGCCTGAGCGATCTTCTTGATAGATAAGGGTTGTACGTGAACAGTGTAATGGCTACTAATTGTCATGGCTAAATATGATCTCATGTCAGTTGCTGTGGATCACAAGCAGTAGAATGATGCTCATTGAAGGTTTGTCAATTAGGACTGAATGGGGCACTGCCCAACCAATCACCCTCTGTCTTCAGCCATTCCTCCTTATTACAACTGGTCCAGGAACTGCAGTGACTGTCAGCTTCCTGCTTTTCAGTGTTGCCCTTTGTAAATATCAGTTGGGGGTGGGAACAAACCCAGAATTAATTAACTGCATTTATTATTAGCTTTAACTTCACAAGTCAGTTGATCCATCTTCATCTACTGTTGATCTCCCTGCCTTTTGCCCTGTTAGTCCCAATGAACATCAGTCTCCATTTGTGCTGCTCTTGCATTCATGTCCTGCTATTTGGTTGCTTACTGAGAACAATTCTGGAGCATACAGGTGTTTGGTTCTGATTCTTATGTTTTTCTGCAGTGGAAAATAATAGGTGTGAATTCAGATTGGGGAAATAGTTTATTTTTAAAAATTATAAATTATGTTTAATGCTTCTTGTTTTGATGTCTTCTAAAATACAAGGGGCTGCTGCATCAAACTAATTTCTACTCAGAGTAGACCCAATAAAATAAATGGACCTAGGTTAGTAACGAGCATTAATTTCAGTGGGTCTACTGTGAGTATAACTAACATTGTTTAAAAGCTTCAGAGTAAGTGTGGTGTATTGGTTACAATATCAGACTAGGACCTGGTAGACCAGGGTTCAAATCTCCACTTATTCTTGAAGCTCACTGGGTGACCCTGGGCTAGTCAGTCTCTGGAAGCCAAGCGTACCTTACAGCATTTTTGTGAAGATAATATGCCAGGGGGAGAACCATGCACACCACACCTTGAGCTTGGAGCAAAAGTAGAGTATAAATGGGATAAATGAATGAAAAAAATCTTTAGAATGTCTAGGAATGTAAAACAGTAAAAAGTTAACCCTAACTTGAGCTGTTACTTAAAAGGATTTATTTCATCTTTGTTTCAGCTCACAGGTTCCCCCCCCCTTTCCTTTTCTTTACTTGATTCACTTATGTCTTCTCTCCCCCATGTTCTCTTTCTTCGTTAGGACCTTAGAAACCAGCTAGAGAAATTTCACGATGAAATGGCTGACAAAGAAAAGGCCCTTGAGCTTCATTACAGTGTTCTTTTGAGTGAAGGCAATCAGAAATTGCAGAGCCAGGAATTAGTCATCACACACCTCACAGCCAGCATTGCTCAGAAGGATGAGTTACTCCAGGTAGGAATATTGGAGCAAAACTGAAGTGCAGGATTTTATACAAGGGTGTTTAAAATGTTTACATTTGCTCCCTGTTCTTTTTACCATATATGCTGTTTTAGTTCACTACTTTTGATGAGAGTTGTGGCATGTTTCACAAAGTCTCATGTTGCAATAGTGGAGAATGGGTTGCTCTCTAGATGCTGTTAGACCTCAGCTCCTGTCAGCCCCAGCCAGTATGGCCAGCTGTCAAGAGATGATGGGAGTTGTAGTCAAGCAGCATCTGGAGAGTCACAATGGGTTTCTTTCGGATGGGGACAAAATACAGGAGAGGTGCTGGTGCTCACATTCACATTTTCATGTGCTCTGAGGTGGCTTAAGAAAATTCTCATAAATCTGCTATCTTCTCTGCTAAACTTCTGTACTTCTGCTTTCACAGTTGGATGGAGTACTGCAATTGTCTGGTCCTTCCAACCACTACGCAAACTATATTTGTGTAATTGCATTAAAGGTGCTTAAAATGTGTTGGAAAGGAAGGATCATAGTCAGTACTTTTCCCCAAGCAAAGTAGGTGCGTGAGCTTGCTATGAAGTTGTTATAGTAAGTTGCCAGGCGACTCTGTGCAGCTTTGAAAGATGCCGGTTTCACAATAGCTGCATTCATCGCCTGCAGAGGTGTTAAAAACTATGGCAAGCTGTTTGCCAGGCTCAGGGGTTTTCAACCTTTTTGAGTCTATGGCTCCCTTGACCAACTACATTCTTTCTGCAGCACACTTGTGGGGCTCAGGAGCCCAGTTATGTTATCCCTTGCCTGCAGAGTTGGCAGCCCCTGAACCCTTTTTGAACACCCTCCCTTGTGGAGTGTTCCCTCAGCCTCCTCTCCTCTCCACTCTCCTTGGGAGTTCTCTGGGCAGCCACTGCAGCCAACCCTGGCCTCTGAGATACTCTTCACCCTAAAGAGAGGCACCTCCTCACACAGCTCCACATGGATCTGGGAACATGGTGTCCCCAACCTTAACAGCCTGATGGAGACTGGCCGAAGGTTAATATGAGACCACCATCTTACTTTGGAGGCAGCAGTAGCAGCAGCAGATGCTGCTGGGTCCACATGGTGGAAAGGCTCCCCTTCGGAGGCAGGCAAAAAGGCCAGTACAGCGCCTGCCTGCCTGCCTGGCCTCCTACTTGTCTGTCCATTCCCAACAGCAAGGGCTGGTGGACTGGCTGGCTGGCCTCCCTCACCCACTTGCTTGCTTACTCTGAGGTCACCTCAGCTCCTGGCAACCAGCATCCCCTGGCCAGCCCCAGAGGTACCATTTGCCTCCAGAGCTTGTAGCCAGGGCTGCTACAATAAACAGCCGTCCAGCCTTTGGGAGGCAGAGACATGAGAGGGCATCAGAGAAGGGAGGGAAGGAAAGAGGGACAGAGGACAGTGTTGCCCATGGCGCCCCAACCATCATGAAAATCACCCAAGGGTGCCATGGCACACTGGTTGAAAACCACTGGCTTAGCTAGTTGGGGTGTCGCCCCGGTTCTGTTGAAGGTCAAATAAATGCACCACCACCTCCTTCATTCGCTTTGATTCAGGCGGATGACTAGGGCAGCTTGGAAGAGCCCTCACACAAACGTTTGTGCATGTGTACAGTGTTAGAGGCCTGACTGGAAAGTTCACAGTCCACCGCTGCTACATGGGAGACAGATTGAAGAAAAGGAAATATAAATTGGCCCTGCTCTATATCTAGGAATGGCTAGGAACTAGGTGGAGTCAGATCTTTAAAAAAAAGTATAGACTCGCGCATGCTGGCCAGTTTCTGATTTGACATGAAATGTTCGTTTTGGGCTTCTTAAAGGTAAAGGTAAAGGGACCCCTGACCATTAGGTCCAGTTGTGACTGACTCTGGGGTTGCGGCGCTCATCTCACTTTATTGGCCAAGGAGCCGGCGTACAGCTTCCGGGCCCAGCATGACTAAGCCGCTTCTGGCAAATCAGAGCAGCGCACGGAAACGCCGTTTACCTCCCCTCCGGAGTGGTACCTATTTATCTACTTGCACTTTGATGTGCTTTTGAACTGCTAGGTTGGCAGGAACAGGGACCAAGCAACAGGAGCTCACCCCGTCACGGGGATTCGAACCGCTGACCTTCTGATCGGCAAGTTTGGGCTTCTTAGAAGTATGTAAAAGCAGGAAGTGGGTGAGGAGTGTGTGGCCTGCAATGGGTGGAATAGCTGAGAGGTGGCAAAATTGCTCTGGTGCGTTTTGGCCAAAAACCTGCTAGTCTTAATTTAGTGGGTAAAGCACAGACATTGCAAGCAGAAGGCCTTAAGTTCCAGCTCCAAAATCTCTAGAGAGGGTTGAGAGTCTCATGTCTGAAACCCTGGAGAGATTCTGCCAGTTATTGTAGACGATTGTAGGCTGGGGCTAGTGAGAGTTAGTGTCAAATAGCATTTGGTGGGCACTGGTTTGAGAAAACCCTGGTTTGGGAACTCCCACCATCTGAAGTGTGGCAGATGGCTTCTGAAAAAGGACTTTCAAAGTGGTGGTGCTCCAGATTTGGAATGTTACCATCTCCCAAAGATGCCTACCTGGTACCTACTTTGATGGCCTTTTTGGTATCAGACAGATTTTTTTTGTTTTCTTTTCCAGGCTTTAGAAATGTTTAATCCATTTTATCTATGCTGATAGTTTTCACTGTTTTGGATTTGCTGCTTTTATCATGTTGTTCTTACATTGTTGTATTTAATTCTTTGTAAGCCACCCTGAGACCTTGCTTGAGGCGCTGGATGGAATTCTTCTTCATCATCATCATCATCGTTGTGACATGTATCTATCTTGTTTTCCTTAGAAACTTGATGGAGTGATTAAAGAAAAGGCCATGGAGTTTCAGACTCTTTTAAAAGATAAAGAGGATCTTCAGAAGCAGAACGAAGATTTAGAAAAGGAGAAGTGTGCTGCCCAGTCACAGCAGCTAATGATCCAGATGATCCCAGATTTAGAGGTAGGTTTGACACTTAAAAAAATATTTTAAAAAAGAAAAGGCTACTGGAGATTACTGGTTGGGGTTGTAAATGGTTTTAACTTAATTTAATCTTAATCTTTTTCTATTGTTGTGAAGTCAAACTGTTGGAAGGTTACAGCATCTGCTGTGGCTGCAGAGACTGATATGGGAGAGACTTGTTTTGTTGCAGCTGGGACAAATGAAGGAGTAATGTTGTGCTACTGAAGTTGCACCATGGCATTTTTTCTCTTTGTGATCCTCCCAATGGTCATTCTTCATCTGGTCACTGCTATGGATGCATGACCTGACTTCTGTCTAGTCACTGCAGTTGCCTGTAAGGAATTTCCACATGGCAGGGTTGATGTTGCCAATTTTCATGTCTCGTTTGCAGACATTTTTGTAACGGGCCTGATGCCCAAATTCACAGAGAGACCCTGACTGAAACCAGCTCCTTATAGAACACATCCTTTGGGATCCTGCCATCTTCCATTCTATGGACATATCTAAGCTTCTGAGACAGGAGTGTGAACATGCTCTGAATGTGGGCTTGGGAGAGCACATCTTTGTTTGAGACTCTGTCATGTCTTCCTGATGCAGCACTTCTAGCAGTTGCAATTTGCCCACAAAGCAGTGTGCTCAACATGCAAGCCTGGTAGATCTTCACCTTGGTCATTAGCATCACATTCTCCCATACCATTTTGGAGGGATGAGCCATTGCTGTAGCTGCCATGTCAATACTCTTGTCTAGCTCACTCTCAGTGAGGAGGCTGTTGGTTATGGTGGAACCCTGGTAGACAGAATTGTCTGCCACCTCAAGCATGTGGTCAGCACCACTGTTTGTAGGGAAGGCGTCTGAAGATGAGCAGTCATATTGGACAGTGCTACACATGTTCTTGTGGAAGGACATGATCATCTTGTGAAGCTTTGATGGCATCCTATCTTACTGAACTGCGTGAAGAGTCCTTTTCAGCTGATGAGGTCAAAGGCCATCGTCATTTCTTTGGAGATGTACAAGGGGCAACTCTGCTCTCTGCATTTCTCCTGCAGCTGGCTCAGTGAGAAAATCATGTTGACTGTTGACCTCTCAGTTCTAAAGCTGCATTATGACTCAGGATAGACCCTGTCAGTGAGTGACTGTAATCTGTTGAGAACTACATGGGTGAAGGCATTCCCCACAGTACTTAGCAGGGAGATTTCATGGTAGTTCTTGCAGTCATGACAGCCACCTTTGTGCTTGTAGAGGGTCACAATGCTGGGTTGCACATTTCTTGTGGCACAGATCCTCGTTCCCAACTCCACAATAGCAGGCTGTGGCAGTGTGTCATGAAGGAGGAATTGAAACCAGCTTTTATCACTTCTGTTGGGATTCCAACTTGTCCTGAGGCTATACCACATGCCTGAGAGTTGGTGGCATTCTTCAGCTCATCAAGGGAGGGAGGGACATCCAGCTCTTTCAAGACAGGCAGAGTCTGGATACTGTTGATTGCTGGGTCAGAGACCATGTTTTCCTGCAAGTATAGTTCTTGATAGCACTCTGCCCAATGCTTTACCTGTTTGCTGCAGTCTGTGCTGATCTTCCCAACAAGGTTTTCAGTGATGCAGCTTTCCAGACTGTTTGTCTAAAGGCTTTCTTCATGCCTTTGTACATTTTGTGAATGTTGCCAAAGTCAGCAGCAAGTTGAATGCTCTGATGCAGCTTTAGCCATTAATCACTGGCACATTGTCTGGGAATCTGCAGGGCATCACCCCATGTGTGATGATCGTCCCCAACTCTGGCATTGAAATCTCCTAGCAGGAATAGGTCTTTGCAGTCTGGGGCCCTTCTGATAGGCTGGTCTAATTCCTAGGTCCTTGGTCTGTATGTCAGAGCATGTAATGGGGAGAGTAGACACTCAAGATGTTAATTTGACCAGAGGTAGTTGAGAGGTGGAGGGAAAGCAAGTGTTCTGAGTCCTTGTTTGGTGGTTCTATTGCAGACAGATGCAGTTCCTCACTGTGAAGCCTACACTGTGAGTATGTGGCTCGTCTCCTTGCTCCCAAAAGGTGTAGTTCTTTTCTTGGAGACAGCCATTTGAAATGAGTCTGGTCTCCTCCCATAAAGCAGAAACATCAATGTTGAGCTCATTTTCAGCTCATGGTCAATGATGGCCATCTTCCATGAGTCATTGACCAACAACAGGTTGGTGGACAAGCCAGGACACATGGCTCTGATATTCCAGCTTGATAGGTGCAAGAGGGTTTGTTTCTTTTCTTTTTGCCAGGTGCAGAAGCTCAGTCCCCTTGCTGAGTGACACTCTGAGTGCCAAGCACCCACTGAAGCAGGTGGACAGTGGTGGGTCAGCATTTTATTCACTGGGGATTTCCCAGCTCAAGGCAGGCAGTAACTGACCAGTGAAACATGTTTATGTGTTCCATTGGCCAAAGCAACATGTAGCACTTGTACCATATGCCAATCAAGTTGAGCTTACAGCTCATAACCGCTGCCTCCTGCATTGTTTTTACTGCTCCCCCCCCCCACTTCTCCCAAAGATGTCCCACAAGGCAATGAGTACTGATTTTTTTCTTGGGGTTTATTCCCAAAGCCTTTCTCACAAATGAGTATAGGCACAAGGTAGGGGAGGTTTAGGACCAATCCTTTAGCCCATCATTATCCTAGATGGGCTGTCTTCCCAGGCTGATGAGCTCCATCTGCCCCTTCGGTGTGGGGAGTGGAGTATACATGTCCTTAAGGCATGTGCTGATTCCTTGGGAATAGCTAAATAATAATAATCTCCCTAGGCCCTAAGTACAGTGTGGGTGTACCTTTATGTTGGTTTGTGCAGCTGTCTACATCATTGATTCAGATGAATATGAGACCTGTATTGGGACCATGCAGCTGGCTTTACACTGAGGAAATGGCATTGCCTCTTCCAGGCCCACTTCCTGCAATTTCTGTCTAGTGGTATAAAGCACTGCAGAAGGCATCTATTTTGGCTTTCTGATAGTTCAGATTACATTTGAACATCTCGCCACAACACCAAGGGCAATAAATTTGCTTGTACTTGGAGAATGCTGTCAAAGGTCTGGTTGCAGATTCCTCATAGAAGAGTGTGCAAGAGATGGGTGGAATTACAGAAAACATGTCTAGTTGTGTAACTGGTCGAAATGGCAAAGAAAAAAAGATCAGCGGTATGTTGCAAAGGAGGCATTAGGATCAATGGGATGCTGTTGAAGCTGAGATTAGAGTGACAGCCTTAAATGGGCTACTAAGGAGGAGGTGCGGAGGAGTGATTCTGCAGAAGAAGGGATTAATTAATTAATTAGCTGAAGCTAATGGAAGACACTTGGCACTGCTGAGGCCGCCTGAGCCTCAAGCAACAGTAAAGGATCTACAGGTAGAAGTAACCCTAAGCCAAGTACTTGTTCCTTCATAGGGCGTGTAACTCCATCAAGAGCAGGCAACCACCCTTATCTGGATTGAGCTTCAGTTTGTTGGCTCTCATACAGTTCATTTCTGAGGCAAGACACTGGTCCAGCACATCCACTGCCATAACTGCAGATGTAAAGGAGTAGAGCTGTCTGTCATCAGCATATTGCTGACAACATACTCTAAAACTCCAGATGACCCCACTCAGCTGGTTCATGTAGATGTTAAACAGCATAGGAGATAAAATTGAACCATGAGGAACCCTACATTGAAGGTTCCACAGGGCTGAAGAGCGCTCCCCAAGCACCACACTTTGGAAACAACCATCTACAGGTGAAACTCGAAAAATTAGAATATCGTGGAAAAGTTCCTTTATTACAGTAATTCAACTTAAAAGGTGAAACTAATATATGAGGTAGACTCATGACATGCAAAGCGAGATATGTCAAGCAAAAGGGGCCCAAACCAAATCCTGAGTACATATGCATGCTTCTACTTCTCAGAGGTCCAATATTGTTCTATTTGCAATCCTTGTTTTGCTGATTTCATTTAATATTCTAATTTTCTGAGATTGTTAATTTGGGGTTTTCATCAGCTGTATGCCATGATCATCACAATTATATAAAGGCTTGACATATCTTGCTTTGCATGTCATGAGTCTATCTCATATATTAGTTTCACCTTTTAAGTTGAATTACTGAAATAAATAACAGGGACGCGGGTGGCGCTGTGGGTAAAACCTCAGTGCCTAGGACTTGCCGGTTGTATGGTCGGCGGTTCGAATCCCCGCGGCGGAGTGAGCTCCCGTCGTTTGGTCCCAGCTCCTGCCCACCTAGCAGTTCGAAAGCACTCTTAAGTGCAAGTAGATAAATAGGTACCGCTTTATAGCGGGAAGGTAAACAGCATTTCCGTGTGCTGCACTGGTGCTGGCTCGCCAGCTGCAGCTTCGTCACGCTGGCCACGTGACCCGGAAGTGTCTTCAGATGGCGCCGGCTCACGGCCTCTAGAGCGAGATGAGCACGCAACCCTAGAGTCGGACACGACTGACCTGTACGGGCAGGGGTACCAAAAAAAAAAGAAAAAAAGAAAAAAGAAATAAATGAACTTTTCCACAATAATTTTCTAATTTTTCAAGTTAGACAAACACAATTCTCCAGGATGGAAGAAGGACTGGCACACGGCACAGTCACCAACTGCTTGTGCTGTGTGCTCCTTACCTGGTGTCCCCACACCATACTTGCCGCTACTGTCAACCACTGTGTGATTGGGGTCCTTCTGCTCTCTCCTGCTCCTCTCTTCCTGGTGTGTTCTTTGAACTTAAATGAGGCTCACTTAACCAAAGCTCATAAAAGTCATGTTTCACTCAGGGGTTCTGCAAATACACAACTTTTGTGTCCTGTTTACTGGGTAGGATGACTTACTCGAAAAAATGTGTGTGTGTGTGTGTGTGTGTGTGTGTGTGTGTTTCTATGGAATCCTTTGACCTGGACACCTTGATTGTCAGCCCTTCCCTGAGTCAAAGACCCCATGGATAGCATTGCCTACAAACTAGCTGGTAAGGGCTTTATCATTGTCTGTGAAGTGGTGTGGTGTA